GAGGCACGCGCGCCGCTTGCTTTAGAGAGGCACGCAGGCCGCTTGCTATAGAGAGGCACGCGGATCGCTTGCTATAGAGAGACACGCGGGCCGCTTGCTTTAGAGAGGCAGGCTGGCCGCTTCCTTTAGAGAGGCACGCGGGCCGCTTCCTTTAGAGAGGCACGAAAGCCACTTGCTTAGAGAGGCACCCGGGCCGTCGCGCCGTGCCGGCCGTGTCGAGAGAAATTAAAGAGAACGCGGCAGAGCTGCCAAGGGCGCCGCAGGGCAGACGGCGAGTTGGCAAGGAAAAATGGCGGGCATAAAAAGACGTGGCGTGCGAACTGTCTGGCCAAGGCGGCGGCGGCGGGACTTCGGCTGCGATTGGTTCAAGAAGCGGGAGGGATTTTTAAATCGCGCTAGGCTAGACTATTGAAGAAAATCTTCACCATAATATGGTGGTTTGGCCTTTGACGGTAAGACATTCAGAGTGAACGATTTGAAAGAACGGTTGCAGAGCCCTGGTAGTGACGTGGCCGGCAACACGCGGCGCGGGGACGTGAAATTCCGCGCAGCAGGCTGGAGAGGCCTGGCAGCGCCTGGCTGCCAGACTGGAGGCTGCACAGTGGGCCAGAAGACCGGTGGAGGCGGCCAAAACCCTAGACGCGTTTTGAGCTCCAGAGTCGCTAAATGGGACTCGAGCGCAGCATGTGACCCCACCAATGGATTCCTCGTTCGGAGAGCAACCCATTGGTGGGGTCACACGTTCGGTTCGAGTCCCATTTAGCGATTCTGGAGCTCAAAACGCGTCTAAAGTTTCGTCCGCCTCCACCGGCCTTCTGGCCCACTGTGCGTGCTGGAAGAGCGCCGGGAACGAAGCAGACGGACGGCAGAGCAGTAATGGATGGGGTCGCCTGGGGCCACGGCCTACAGGCGAGGGCCTACAGGCCCACGGAGCCCGATGGATAGCCTGGCAGAACGATCAATGTCCGTCCAGAATGGCATGAGATGGCGGGGCGCGGCGGCGCGGCACTGGAGGGCCCCGCACTGGGAGGCGCGTCGCGCGGAAACAAACGCGCATATTCCGCGCCAAAGCCGTCCGCGGCGCCACAGTGGATTTGCTGGAAGACCGGTGGAGGTGGCCCGAACACCGGACGCATTTTGAACTGCAGAGTCGCTAAATGGGACTCGAACTGAGACACTGGATCTCAAATAAGCACGTCTAGATTTTTAGCCCCCGCCGCCGGCCTTCTGGCCCATGGGACGCGGCTGAAGGGAGCGTTTTGACAGTTGAAGTACCCCACTCGTGGAAAAATGACTTTCTTGCGGAAATGGACTTTCTGCGATATGCCTCATTCGATATAGCTGCAATTGAAAGTCCGGTACCCATAACAAAATGCTACGCGACCATGATCTGGCCGCACTGTTTAAAAAGCCGTACATTTCAATGAAAACGGTACGGCTAGACCGTACCTCACGGCGTACAGAACAACTGTACCCAAAATCCGTGCTTTTCAGAAGAGCCCATGTTATGAAAAACCGTACTCCGTACCCCAAAAGCCGCACTGGCTTCGGTACGGTGGTACCAGGCAAATTGTCTACCAGACTGCCAGTAACTTTTCCCACGGATTTTTTCTACAGTGCACCCTCTACTCTTGAACGAGAGCAAGAGTCCATTGCATTCGAAGAAAGATCATCCCGTGTTGATGGCCGGCTGCTTGACTGCGGCATCAATCAGCCACGTGCCGCGCACCTGGCAGCAGGCTGAGAGTCGTTTCCGTCGCTCTGTCTCTCTCGCACTCATGGGGGTCCCGTATGGGTTCGAGAGAGACAGAGCGACGAAAACGACTCTCAGTCGTGTGCAGGCCAGAAGGCACGCTGGCAGGCCGCCTGATGGCGACCGTCTGCCCCGCAGTCTCTGCAGTGTGCATCCGCAGTACTGCAAGCCCGACAAATGCAGTGTTTGCGCGCTGCACCGCGGTAGATTGATTCAGGAGGGTCGCACAGTGGGCCAGAAGACCGGTGGAGCGGCCAAAACTCTAGACGCGTTTTGAGCTCCAGAGTCGCTAAATAGGACTCAAACCGAACGTGTGACCCCACCAATAGATTGCGCTCTGAACGAGGAATCTATTGGTGGGGTCACACGCGCGGTTCGAGTCCTGTTCAGAGACTCTGGAGCTCATAACGCGTCTAGAGTTTTGGCCGCTCCACCGATCTTCTGGCCCACTGTGCGCAGCAGGCCGATTCCGAACAGTCAACTGTCTCTCTCTGACCCCTTCGGGACGCCCCATGAGAGCGAGAGGGACAGCGACAGAGCACGTTTCGAAATGCAGTGGCGCGATATTACGCCGTGCTCCGCGGGCAGCCGACTGCGGGTCGCTCTCACCGCCCTGTCCTCGCACCTACACGGGGGACGCCGGTGAGTGCGGGAGAGACACGAGCACGACTCTCTGAATCAGTCCACCACAGGCACCGCACCATACGCGGAGCCTAAACACTCGACCACACACTAAACCTCTTACGGATACATCCTATCTGTATTACGGACATTTTTGTGCAATTGCAATTACGGATAGATTTTGCTTGTAATAATGTAATCATCCGTATTACAAAGAGTTTTACGTCCGTACCATACGGATATTTTCGTCTGTATGTTACGGACACGAAAACCTTTGTATTACGGATAAAATCATCCGTATTACAAGCAAAATCTATCCGTAATTGCAATTGCACAAAAATGTCCGTAATACAGATAGGATGTATCCGTAAGAAGTTTAGTGTGCAGACGCCTCCCCCGCGCGAGCGGCAAAGAAAGCAAAAAAAAGGAAAGATCGTGCACACACAGCACCGAAATAAAAATCGCGCAGCGCGGGAGGGCATTTAAAACCGACAAAAATATTATTCCCGCCACAGCGGCCGCGAGAGAGCGTGGCAAGACACAGTCATAATTTAAAACGCGGGCCGACGTCCTATTATAATAAAAACCCTTCTCTTCCCACCGGTCGGCCTTGTACCCGGGCAGCCTGCCCCCCACCCCCCTTTCCCTTACCCCTTGCAGTCAGCCCGACACGCGACCGGGGCGTCATCTTTCACGGCACGGCGCAGCACAGTGGGCCAGAAGACCGGTGGAGGCGGCCATAACTCTAGACGCGGTTTGAGCTCCAGAGTCGCTAAACAGGACTCGAACCGAACGTGTGACCCCACCAATGGATTCCTCGTTCGGAGAGCAATCCGATGGTGGGGTCACACGTTCGGTTCGAGTCCTGTTTAGCGACTCTGGAGCTCAAAACGCGTCTAGAGTTTTGACCGCCTACACCGGTCTTCTGGCCCACTGTGCGCAGCAGGCCGATTCCAAACAGTCAACTGTCTCTCTCTGACCCCTTCGGGACGCCCCGTGAGAGCGAGAGGGACAGCGACAGAGCACGTTTCGAAATGCAGTGGCGCGATATTACGCCGTGCTCCGCGGGCAGCTACCTGGCGGCAGGCCTCTCAGGAGTCGGACTGATTCCGCGAGTCGTTTTCATCGCTCTGTCTCTCTCGCACCGCTACCGGACGCTCCATGAGTGCGAGAGAGACAGAGCGACGAAAGCGAGTCTCGGAATCAGTCTGCCGGCGGGCTGGACCCTGCAGCTTCTACGCGGTGCCCGTTGCCCCGTTTTGTTCGCAGACAGCCCCGCCGCGCCCTTGGCTGGCAGCAAACTCGTTTTATTTATATCACGCCGAAAATGCCTTGCCGGTTTAATCTCTCACTGCACTCGTGTCGCGCGCAGGCTCCCGGCGAGCGTTGGAAAGCTGCGAAGGACCTGTCCAAGAAAAAAAGGAAACCCAACCGGCAAGTCAGTACGCTTGCGATGAAGCAAAAGACTGAAACCCTCACATGCATCTAGATGGCGCGAGAGAATGAGACCCGTCTCACCGATTTCGCACGAAAACAGAGGGTGATACTGAGCTTCAGTTTTCCCAGTGCGCTGCCAATAAAGTGCGCCGACGAAACGAATTACGCGTAGCGAGTGTGCCGTCTCGACGGCGCTAAGTTGATCTCGGACTGCCCCGCCGGGCCCGAAAAGTGCACGGTACGGCAACAGACTGATTCCCAGAGTGGTTCGAGTAGCTCTGTTCCTCTCACAAGCATGGGGCGTCCGGAATAGGTGCGAGAGAGGCAGAGCGATGAAAACGACTCGCGGAATCAGCCTGCAGGGGGACAGCCGCGCCCCGGCCGGCTCACTTTTTGTCAAGTCAGGCTTATGGGACATCAGCGACAGCCAGGGAGGGGCCCCGGCCCGGGCCCCGGCCGTCTGAAGGGTCCCTTGCCCCTCGCCGGGGCCCTTGCCGGGGCCCGGGGCCATGAAATACAATTTGGACGCGTGTTTTTAGAGTTGCCGTAAATTCGGCCGGGAACGCCGGAACGCCGCCTCGCCTGGCTTCGCCGCCCCACCCCGCCCCGCCCCCCGCCGGGAGGTCCGAGGGTTCGGCGCGCGAAGCCCCGCGAAGCCCCTTTGCCCTCCGGAAAGCGTTTGACGGACAGGCGGGCTAGTGATAAACGGGACTGGAGGCAAAGCAGCCCTACAGCCCGGCCCACCCCGGCAGGGCGCGGCACAGAGTGGCAGGGCACGGCATGGCGGGCACGGCGCGGCCCCAAAGCGGGCCCAAGCAGCCGGGATTGGATACGAACAATGCCCCCTCTTTTGACCGGACCCACCGCGCGACTAAATCCCAAAACACCACTCCAAGTCCGTGGCGGCCGATCCGGAACCCGCCACCGCACCACTCAATGCACGCGGGAGGAGTAGACTACAAATAAATTTGGTGTATAGGCATGCCATGCATGTGCGCGGCGCAGGTGTAATTGCCAGACTTGGTGCGTTCTTCCTAGATTCTCATATGCAGCCAACCAAATGTGAGGCTAAAAGGATATTATTCACCAATGGGGTCTAACAAAATGTAAACACACGATTCAAAAAGGTAGCCTTCAATAGAAAGTACCACACTGAATCACAAAATGAGACGCCAAACTCGAAGGCATATTTTAATAAGAATATCGTGAAAACAAAATTTTACACACATTGAGATAATTTGTAATGTTGTCAAAAGCGTCGTTAATAGCTTATAAACGGAACCGACAACTAGTATTCTTGTAATAATGTATCACATTACATCACTCCCATTTCCATCGAATTCAGCAACATGTGACTACAAGACACTGTATTCCATTCGGAGCATACTTCCACTCACCGAAAGAACAAAATGAAAACAAACAACAAAAACGCAAGGGATTTAAATAAATAGGCTAACCTTGTTGGAGCCACATTCTGCGAATGGAACCACAGTCTAGCTTCACACTGCAAAGAATCAAACTAAAATTGTCTCGACGGACTGCTTCTTCAGGTCACCGATGGCTTTACCTCAGTGTGGGTAGCGACGTGTCTTCGAAGGTTGTCTTTTCGGGTGAACTTCTTATCGCAAACAGTGCACTCAAAGGGCTTCTCGCCAGTGTGAGTTTTGACATGCGTTCGAAGGTATTGTCCAGAAGTAAACTTCTTGTTGCAAACCGTACACTCAAAAGGCTTCTCGCTTGTGTGAGTTTCAACGTGCACTCGAAGGTCTCTTTTACGGGCGAATTTCTTGTAGCAAACTGTACACTCAAAAGGTTTCTCACGAGTGTGAGTTTTGACATGCTTTCGGAGGTATAGTCCAGAACTGAACTTCTTGTTGCAAACCGTACACTCAAAAGGCTTCTTGTCAGTGTGAGTTTTGACATGCTCTCGGAGGTATTGTCCAGAAGTGAACTTCTTGTTGCAAACCGTACACTCAAAAGGCTTCTTGTCAGTGTGAATTGTTTCAACGTGCCTTCGAAGGTGTGGTCTAGAAGTGAACTTCTTGTTGCAAACCATACACTCAAAAGGCTTCTCACCTGTGTGAGTCTGAAAGTGCGCTTGCAGGAATCCTTTGACTGTGAACTTCTCATTGCAAACCTTACACTGAAAAGGCTTCTCCCGAGTGTGAGTGCAAAGGCGCATTTGAAGGGAACCTTTTGCGATTAACTTCACCTGGCAGACCGCACACTTGAAGGGCTTGTCCCTGGCGTGGATTCTAGCGTGCAGAGAAACGGCTGAAGGAGATGCGAACATTTTTTCACAAACCGCACACTGGGAGGCCATCTTGCGGCGTTCACGGAAGTTCACGTATCTGTAAATACAGTGAGTGGTTACTGTCGCAAAGTGTCACAAACTCCGTTGCGTGAACACTCGCGAAAGCGTGGCCGGGTGGACGCACCTCACAATCTTCGGCCAGGAACGCGTCCTCGAGGCGAAGCTGTAGCTCTTGGACGTGCTGAAAGGAAAGATGTCCAAATGTAAGTCATGTCGATACTATTTTCACTCGCTTGAAACCTACATAGTATTTTGAGCATCAGGTAAGAAAAATCGATTGCGGGTCACTTTTTTGAAAAATGCATATTTTTAATATTTATTTTGAATAAGTAAGCCAAAGTAATCTTTGACACGTTTAAATACATCTCTGAACTACGGTCTACAGCGCCACTGTAATTCAAAGAGTGAGACATCTCACCAATTTTCGGCGATACAAAATGTATCACCGAAAAAAGGGTCGTACACGAATGTATCACCGAAAAAATGGTCGTACACGCATGTATCACCAAAAAAAAATCGTACACAAATGTATCACCGAAAAAACGGTGATACTTCCCCAGGAAAACAAGGGCTAATCTCGCTGATGTCTGACCTTTTTTTCGGTGATACATTTGTGTACGACCTTTTTTCGGTGATACGTGCGTGTACGACCAGTTTTTCAGTTATATATTTTAGTATCACTCTTTTTCGGTGAGACAGTTATGTCTCACCCCTCAGAGAGTGAGATGTAACACTAATTGATTTTCAGTGGCAGCAGCCCCGTCTGTGGCCCTCGTTTACTAAGCTGCAGCCGTTTTTAAGACAGGCTGTTATGGTCCACAATTGACTTTTGGAACCAATTGTGGATCAGCAATTTTCAAGGCTACCCACGCGCATCAAGCCTTCAACAACTTTTGCCAAACTTTGGTTGACTTATGGTCCTTCACCTGTTATACACTTAAATCAGTAAGGGTGCTCCCCTTCATCCATAATTCGATATTTTTTAATGTTTGAAGAACATCCCTTTTTCCTTTTTTTGCACTTGGATAGGCCCAATTTTCCGTTGAATTTTGAAGGTATCTCTTTGCTGCCCGATAGGTGGCGTTGTGGTCGCTGCTCAGACATCTGCGCTGTTTCAGGCGACAAAGGAAGGTGGAGGGACGACCCATACCAAATTTGAAATCGATTCGCTTATCCATGGATTTGTAGCGGCCTATCAAACAAAATGGCCCATAATTGATTCGTGACCCACAATTGACTTTTTACCTTATGTATGGCACAAACTAACTAGTACACTGGTAAAACTAAAGCGTAGCTCTATGCTTGAGTTACGGATTAATTACACTAGAACAGTAACGCCTAAAATGAAGCATACAAAAGCATACATTTAAATTCCCTATGCATTTAGATAGGGGGAAACTTGGCGGATGAGCTTATTACACTTGATTTCAAGCGTAAACTGATAACGCTTGAAAACAACGGTAATACTACACTTTCGTTTTACCAGTGTATGTTGTACGAAGAAAAAGTTGATAGATTACGAACTATTTTCTTTATAAGCGTATGTATGCTGGAAATAATCTGTAATGACAAGCTACTTTTCAAGGCCTTACAATTGTTCGCGAGGTTTTCAGAGTGCAAAAGGACTGAAGCACTTTCCAGTTAAAATGGCACGTAAAAAAATTCTGAGGCAAGATTCGGAAATGTCTTGTCTTGATGACATAATCAGTTCTATCAATTCAAAATTTGCACAGTGCGGATCAGAAAAGGGGGGAGGGGGGTCAGCATTAAGCCTTTCAGGTACCCTAGATAGCTACACCTAGGGGTCAGTGGTGCAGGGGAGGAACTCCCCGCCCCCCTCCTCCCCCTCGACGCATGGACTCTCAACCTTGTAAACCGCATGAAAAAAAAAAACAAGTTTCTTTTGAGCAGTGAAGCATGTATATTTTAGTCAGGCTTCCCGACAGAGCTCAGCCAAAAAGAGCACAGTCTGAACAAAATCTGACTATTCGTCTGTTTTCACAAAATATAAGACCCACACATTCCCGAACAATCACCCAACTACGAAATAGCCGTTGGAGGGGAGGGACACCCTCAAAGTGACAACGACAGAGTATTTTTAACTTGTAAAACAATGTTAACATCATATTGTTGAATACACTGCAAGAAAAAGTGTGGATAGTACAACAAAAGTACAACAAAAACTGTACAATTATAGTACAACAGGGATGGTAGAAAGTACAACGAGAATCGTACAAACCACAACGAGCCCTGGACTGCCCGGCACTCGTCATGCCGGTTCCACTGTACTTTGTACAACAATTGTTGTACTTGAAAAGTACACTAAATTCCTGATAAAAAATTTGCCAGGAATTTTTGTACTTTTGTTGTGGTTATTTCCTGCAGTGAAAATGTAATACAAATACAAACTGTTCCACCCAACGGAGAGCTGCTTTGGCCGCGAGATTCCAAGGAGCTGTTCGGCTGCTGTCTCTCACGCACCCCAATAGCACGCACCATGAGTGCAAGAGGGACAGCGAGAAAGCGACTCCGGGGAACCAGTCTGCAGGGCGGTGTGTCCGCAGCAGATTACAAAAATATTGCACTTCAAAGGACCGGGCCGCGCAGTCACTCTGTGCTGTTATTCCACCGCAGCGCGTAATACACTGCGTGTTTTTAAATATTTTTTACATCTCTTCAAAGCAACAGTCGTGGGTCGGACAAAGACTAGGAGGAGGAGAATTGAAACGCGGCGAAAAAAAGAGGAGGGAAAGAATAGCGGGAGGCAAAATGAGCAGAGGCCTGTGATTAGCAAAAGGCAGATGTTAAGGACGGCGGCAGCTTAACGCTCTGTCTCTCTCGCACTCCAGGGGCGTCCCGTAGGGGTGCGAGAGAGACAGCGACGAAGTTCGGAAGCGGCGCGCTGCACAGTGGGCCAGAAGACCGGTGGAGGCGGCCAAAACTCTAGTCGCGTTTTGAGCTCCAGAGTCGCTGAATGAGACTCGAACCGAACGTGTGACCCCACCAACTGATTCCTCGTTCGGAGAGCAATCCATTGGTGGGGTCACACGCTCGGTTCGAGTCCCATTTAGCGACTCTGGAGCTCAAAACGCGTCTCGAGTTTCGGCCGCCTCCACCGGTCTTCTGGCCCACTGTGCGCTGCACGTTTGAGCGACGGCCGGCATTCATCGCCCCTTTTGCCTTTGGACGGCCAAAGGACCGTCCCACAGTGGCACTCCCACTTCGGTCATTCCGACTGTGTGATTACGCAGCCGCTGCAGCCAATAGGCGCCTTCGTCACTCTGTCTCTCTCGCACTCCTGCGGCCCGCCCCGTGGGTGCGAGAGAGACAGAGCGAGGCAGCTAGGCTGTGCGTTTTTGCGCCGCCAGGCCTCGGTGACCTGCTTCGCCGCGCTTCGCCCTCTCTGCGACAAAGACGCACAAAGGCGAGCGCAGCGCGGCGCCGCGCTCAAAGCGGCCAAACGAAGATAAGAACAATGCAGTCCGCGCCGTGCCACGCCGCGCAGTGGGCCAGAAGACCGGTGGAGGCGGCCAAAACACTAGACGCGTTTTGAGCTCCAGAGTCGGTAAACAGGACTCGAATCGAACGAGTGACCCCACCAATGGATTCCTCGTCCGGAGAGCAATCCATTGGTGGGGTCAAACGTTCGGTTCGGGTCCCATTTAGAGACTCTGCAGCTCAAAACGCATCTAGAGTTTTAGACGCCTCCAGGCCCACTGCGCGCCGTGCCACGCAGTGCAATGCCTTACTAGGCTGTTCCAAGCCGTGGCGCGTCAGGCAGTGCCGTGCCTTACCAGCTGCCCGATTCCGAGGCGGAGGTCTCGTCGGCCTGTCTCTCTCGCACCCACACGGGACGCATGAGAGCGAGAGAGAGCCCCCCCCCTCGGCATCAGCCTGCAGGCCGCGCCACGGTGTGCCACGCCGTGCCACGCGCTGCCACGCCCTGCCGTGCGACGCAACGCGACCCGCACACTGCTTTTCCCCAGGCTCCAGCAGCAGAGAAAACGCCACCCAGTCAAAGGCAGAGACGCGCTCACCCTCTCCTTTTCTCAATTTTTAGCAGATGATTGTTAAATCAGCTTTTACATTTACACAACCCTTATATTGTTTTAATCGTATCCTCCCGTTCTTTGCAATGCACCACTCAAACTTCCAAAATTCAAAATATTCAAATTGGTTGTCGTATTAGCATGGCTTCTGGTGCTGCGTTTCCGCCTTCAAGCACAATGCGGGATTAAACTTGATAGGGCGGCTGGTCGAGCGTTGCATACGAGAAACTTGTTCGCACAAAACCTTCAAAAATTAAATCAAAATTAACATTTTCGTCCATTAAACTATGCACGTGTTAATCATGAATTGCGATACACCAAAATTAACATTCTCGTCAGTATCATCTGCTTTCACGTTAGCGTTAACGTCTTTTTTTTTCTTCCTTTTTTTTATTTTTTTTATTTTGATATTTATTTTTCCTTGTGGCGGCTTGACGCGCGTTGCACTTAGTCGCGATGAAGACAGCGATCAGGCAAGCCGGTGATCCGAGGCAACGGCCGGGCCGGCACTCCGATTGGCCCTAAAGCGGTGGCCAATCCAATCACGCCTGCAATCTGTAGGCATTCACTCCCTCTGTCTCTCTTGCGCCCCCTCACAGAGTGAGATAGTGAGAGAGAGGGGGGAGGGAGAGAGAGAGGGGGGAGGGGGGGAGAGAGAGAGACGGGGGGAGGGAGGGAGAGGGAGAGAGAGACGGGGGGAGGGAGGGGGAGTGAGAGGGAGTGCGAGAGAGTGGGAGAGTGAGAGTGGGTGAGAGAGAGAGAGAGAGAGAGAGAGAGAGAGAGAGAGAGAGAGACAGAGAGAGAGAAGAAAGCAAGGTTCAGCCTGCTGCTTACGGGGGCCCTGGCCTTCGGCCTAGCCCCGACCGCACACCGTAAGAACAACGCTTCTTTCGAATATGTAAAGTCAGGGGAACTGGATGGCTCCGCTATGAAAAGCAATGGGACACCCACAACGTTCACCAAGCGTCGGACTCAATGCGTGCAACTTCGAGTGTGTGTGTTTGTGTGTTGGTGTGTGCGTGAATGTACGTGGGTGTAAGAGTGCGACTGTGCAAGTATAGGTGTGTGTGTGTGTGGGTGGGTGGGTGACGCCGTATAATTTTACGAGAGCCTCATTGTCTTACTCTATATTACAGGGTTATTGGAGGCGGGCTAAGGCAGGGGGCCGCTTGGGTCTGCTTGCCTATACGCTGTAATTCGATGTGTCAGCAGGTCAGCATCATCCCTAGTCTCGTTTACGGGCCTGGCCGCGTGCGTGCCGCGTCGTGCGCCCCCTCGCCGTCCAATCAGGAGAGGGGAAAGGGGGGGGGGGTTTCACCTCGCTGGCTTCGGGATGGTCGGGAAGGAAAGGGGTTGTGCAATGACACGACAGTAAGTCACCTCAGGACAAACAGCGGCAACAAACAAGAAAGACGCAAGCGTCTGTCTGCTGACTGATGCCGGGTCGTCCCCGTCGCTGTCTGTCTCGGTCTCTCGCACGTATACGGGACGCCCCACACGGTAAAAACGGTACCTGGTTTTCCCAGGAAGAGATATAGGCGATTTCCAGGGAGTTCCTGGGAAAACCAGGTTTCGTTTTTACCGTGCATGAGCGCGAGAGATATGGCGTCGAAAACGGACTCCCAAAATCATGATTTTGGGAGGACTGCTGAGTCCTGAGGACCAAGAGTGAATGAAAAGAACGAGTGAAAAGGACGAAAAACTCCTGGTCGTACTTTTTCACGCCTGATGAGTTCCCACATTCTTACACGAAGAAGGCTAATTTGAACTCCCCAACACAAGCACCTTCAAATATGATTACTTTCCTGTTCACATGGAGTGAGGACTGTAATAGCGTAATAGAACATAGCGAGTAGTCGGGTCACAGTTTTTAAGAGTTATTCCCCCCTCGGTTGACCCTAAAAGCTGTATCGGGCTGTATCAAACATCACACAAAAGGGGCCTCGAAAAGTTTGTGAAACCTTCTTAGGTCACTGTGCCGATATTGTGATCAGACGCCTGCCTCTAGTCTAGACCACAGCCAAGTGCGCACTCGCGTGCAGCAAGCTGATTCCGCAGTGAGCTCTCGCCGAGCACTGTTCGACGCACCAGACGGCGGGGACACTGGGAACAGCTGGAAGACTAGACCGACAACCTTAAGCCGCCGACTAGCGGCGCCGAGTGGCGGGCTGCAGGCTGCAGCAGGCTGCAGTAACTGCACAATGGCTCACCTCCCCGCCCCGCAGGCTGATTCCGAGTGGCCCAGTTCGTCGCGCTCTCTCTCTCTCGCACCTCGGACGCCTCATCAGTGCGAGAGAGACAGAGCGACGACTCTCGGAATCAGCCTGCTGCACTGCACTGCCTTTGCGGCGCCGCGGCTGCTTTACTGCCACAGCGCTCAGCCTCGGTGAAGCCTTGCCGAAGCCAGACCACTACAAATATTATTCCGCGGCGAGGATCCTTCGCGAGGACCGCGTCGTCGACCTACGCCACACACATACGACCTCTCTCTCTCTCTCTCTCTCTCTCTCTCTCACACACACACACACACACACACACACACAGTGTCACACACCACAAGCACACACTGCAAATCCAGTCGTAAGTTTGCTTACCACAAATTTGGCAAGCCGTTTTGAATGTCAAAATTTGGCAAGCTTTGGTCGGAAATCTTCATAAGCTCGCCAAATTTTGGCAAGCTGGGGAGTATTTCCGGGCCAAGCTTGCCAAATCTTTGGCATTCAAAACGGCTAGCCAAGTTTGTGGCAAGGAAACTTACCACACGGTGAAAACGGAACCTGGTTTTCCCAGGAAGCCCATGTTAGATACATAGGCGATTTCCAGGAAGTTCCTGGGAAAACCAGGTTCCGTTTTCACCATGCACCGGCTTTGCTGTGCACACACGACCTACGCCCCCTCCACACACACACACACATACACACACACACACATACACACATACACACACACATTCATTCATTCAAGAGTTCCCCCTCCGAAAGAGAATACGAGGAGATACGTGCGGCCAATCGGGACTGGCCGGCCAGTTTGAACGGAATGCATCGTCGCCTCGCGGAGCCCAGTGGAGGGGACCGCCGAGTGACAATGGACGACGTGGCGATACAATATGGCGGAATGTTTGGCTTGAGTGAGGGGCTCGGGGCGAGGCCCGCCAAATCCGAGGGGAATGGATCCAGGAGGCATGCCGAGCCGAAGGCCGAGCCGAAGATGGAAAGCGAAAGGAGCAGCTGAGTTCCTGGAGAGGCTGTACGCACTGTATTGCCATTGAGTCTCGTATTGATATTTATCTCTTGCTACAAAGTTTTTTGTGCAAACGTAACATGTACTATTTTCTCTTTAGCTACGCAACTTGGTTCATTGTATTTAGTCCATTAATTCTGACTTTATATCATTGCAATGTACTTATCAATTACATGATCTATTGACCATTTTACATTAAAAACGGTCAAAATTGTGCTCAGTTAACCTAAAGAGAAAATAGTACATTTTACGTCTGCTAACAAAAACACGCTATAAGCAAGAGAGAAAAAAGGCCATACCGGTCTGAGAGTGCACTCTACACATCGAAAAGCGTTCATTGTATGCTGTATCTGAAGCATGCCTGCAGGCACGCTGTTGCTAGCGCATGCCTGCCGAGAATGCACCATCTAGAGCATACATGCCAAGTACAGGCTAACTGAAGCATGCACTAGGTGAAGAAGAGTATTCGGCATCAGGAAGCGTGCACTTGGCATGTATGCACTAGTTACTGCATGCTTGGCAGGCATGCGCTACCTAGAGCGTGCTTGCAGGCATGCTCCAGGTAGAGCGTACAATGTACGCTTTTCGATTTCAGGTGCAATCTGGAAACCTTGCGAACTATTTTGGACCTCCCAAAGGCTTGCTATCACAAAGTTTTATTGAGCATGCATAAGCTTTCAAAAAACAAAATTCGTAATAAACGAACTGCTTTTTGGACGAACGAAATAGTTCGTACCTTACATACACCCAAAACTGCACAACACTAGGTCTAAAGCCTACGGCACCGGGGAGAGGAGGGATACGCGGAGCTTGGGGGTCCAGACATGGTGACTGCTTACACTGCAAGAAATAACCACAACAGAAGGACACAAATTTTTGGCAAATCTTTTGTCAGGGATTTAGTGTACTTTTCAAGTACAACAATTGTTGTACAAAGTACAATGGAACCGGCATGACGAGTGCTGTGCAGTCCAGGGCTCGTTGTGGTATGTACAATTCTCGTTGTGCTTTCTACAATCCCTGTTGAACTTATATTGTACAGTTTTTGTTGCACTATCCACACTTTTTCTTGCTGTGTACTTCCGATTCAGGTCTAAAGGCAGTATCCAACTATAACTTTAACCAGGGCAGTGGACAGTGAACGGCAGTTTTGTTCGGTACGCGTTGTTCATGGCAAGTGAGACTTCGAAACAATATTTAAAATAAAATCGTAAGAAACAACGCAGGAAGTCGAAAGAGAGCTCATTGCTTTTCGAAGAATTTTGGTAAACGCAGTAAATGAACGCTGAACCTCGTCTCTGGCTCTGAAATTATTTTGAATTATTCATTTCAATTTAATATTTTTTACTGCTGATGCCAATGGGCACTTCCGTAGATCGTGAACCGGAAGCAAGCAGACGCCGTATTGGCCGGTAAACTCTGTTCGGATCTAAAACTACAGCCGAGCTGTACAAATGCTGCTCGCGAAACACAAATGCAATGCAAATAAGTATAAAACGACTGATAATGTTCAAGTGTGGCCGATACGTTTGACTATCGTCTCTTTCCCATGACAAGTTTTGATCTACTTCCGCCAACTATGGCGTCTGTGTGCTTCCGGTTCAGGATCTACGAAAATACCCTTAGGGTATTTTAACGAATCCCTGGCCCGGAAGTCAAAGAACAAAAGTAAGAACCAAAACGGCTTCTGCGCATGCGCTGACGCTGCCTCAGAGTGGAAAGGGGGGGGGGGCGTCTGCGCATGCGCAGAAGCGGTTTTGGTTCTTACTTTTGTTCTTTGACTTCCGGGCCAGGGATTCGTTAAAATACCCTATTGAGATGATCTAGGTTCAGAAAGGGCCGTGATTATTTCCAGCCTTCACGGGGCTCTCATCCGAATTCAACTTTTATTGAGTGCGATATATCGCGAGTAGTTCTCCTCACAACTCCAAAACCCGGATCGACTCAATATTCCATGACGCCGTTGAGACAAGTGAAGTTCAACATTCTCATATCCCTTGCCACTTGAGCTTTGCCCATCGATTGATTCCCTGATCACTGCCGTAACAGCTCATCGAAGAACACTTCTGTAAGTGTCATCACTCACCTTCTACTCCTGACTGGAAACGGTGGCTCTTGACGTCGGTGAGCAGATGCCCTCAGATCCTCAGACCGCCGCAGCCACGCTCCTGAGGATTGCAAACAAATACCAACACGTGAGTCTCTCAACAGATTGGACACGATTGTGTGTAAGCGCGGTTCATTCTTCATTTACCGGGGGTATTTTATATAGAAAGAGGAGACTGTTTCATGTGCGTGGTGCTACAACTACAATCCTGTACCTCTTCCGTTCCACCTCATCTAGGATCACTGTGCATGACTGCTTTCCCCTGCCTTTTACGGAACCGATCTCTTGAAGCCGGAAGGAAGGCGTCCATCCAACGCAGCAGCTTTTGACCAGACGGCAGCGGATTCTTCTTAAATTTCTGGGTAAGTTATGCGTCTCAAAACCACGCCCTGCGTGACAGTTTCGTGGGTGAGTAGCAGCGCGCCCGAATTTTGAGCGTGAGGACACGTTTTTTAACCTAGCTTTGCAGTTTTAGACGCCTACAAGCTGCCCACTCGTGATGTGACTTTACGCTGGTTCAGCCTCTTGCACCCTTCCCCTGCGTAACGTTTCGCAACAAGTCATTTCCGAAGGGCGTGCAGTTTATACTTCACAGTAGAAGTCTCAAGTGTTACGCAAGACGAGTAGTCCTCTTGAAAAGTCTCAGTTCGGTCTCTGATTCACGGTGTTGTTAATTTTCATTCATTTGCCTCTCAAAGTAATATTTTAGTTTGGATCTGGTTGAAACCGGAAGCCAGGAATAAGGTTCGACGGAACGATATCGACTCCCGTATACTCTCTAATTAACTCTGTATTACAATATTTGAACGTGCGGTCTCACACAGTTGTGCCCGTTTGAAAAAGGTCGTATGTTTAAAATTGTGAGAGCACACGTACGAAAGTGCACAAGTAGATTCAATGTATAAATTCCTGTGTACAATTCGTTGTACGTGGTCCGAGGGGCAGACAACTTGAATTTTGGCGTACATTTCCCTTGAAATAACGTTGAAATACCTTAGAAGTAACGTTGAAATGACGTGACTTTGAAATAACGCTGTACAAAGTTTGACGAAGTTGTTTGCCCTTCTACGTAGTCTCACTGCCCATACGTGCTTCTCGTGCAAAACGCAATAGGGTACTTTCGTAGATCCTGAAACCGGAAGCAAACAGACCAGCAGACGCCAAATTGGCCGGAAACTAACCTCTCTTCGGATCTAAAACTATAGCCGAGCTGTAAAAATATTGCTCGCGAAACACATATGCACTGCAAACAAGTATTAAACGACTGTTTATGTTCAAGTGTGGCCGATACGTTTGACTAACGTCTCTTTCCCATGTCAAGTTTGGATCTACTTCCGCCAACATGGCGTCTGTGTGCTTCCGGTTCAGGGATCCACGAAAGTACCCTATTTCGCACCGATCAATCGACTTTAGATCGTAACGTTTAAATTAAACACTCGAAGTCCCGTTTGCAAAATTCACATTTCATTTTCATTCTTTGCAGTGTATGTTGCACCTCTACCGCCCGAGTTCTACTTTGATTCCGTGCGCCAAACACCGTTCTTCGGCTACCACCAATTTCAGAAGTCGAGGTCAGTAACGCCCGAGTCAAATCGTGCAATGTATACTTTGCTCTTGCTTCATTTTCTCAAACCTTGTTCCAGATTTTCTCTCACGCCTCACGGAAACTATGGTCCATAAATGTGCCGTGTGTGCAGCAGAGTTTCCTTCGTTGTCCACGCTGATGCAGCATGGCCGTTCCGACCATCCTGGGCAGAAGCTATTCCAGTGTGACATCTGCAGAAAACAATTTACCTTGAAGGTTAATTTACGAGCTCATGTAAAGACCCATACTCAGGAAAAGCCTTTTAAGTGCGACGTCTGCGGTTTGAAGCTACGTCGTCGGGGACACCTCGAGAATCATCTCAGGATCCATACAGGAGAGATGCCATTTGAATGCACCCTTTGCCACAAGAAGTTCCGTCAAGACTCTAACCTTCGACTTCACGCTAGGACTCATGCAGGAGTGAAACCTTACGAGTGTACAGTTTGTGATAAGACATTCACTTACAAGGGAGACCTCACGGTACATCTTAGAACCCATACTGGAGAAAGGCCCTACGAGTGTACGTTTTGCAATAAGAGGTTCAATACAGGGGTAGATCTGAGACGTCATGCGGAGACACATGGAGATGGAGAGTCTAAAAATTTGGAGTGCGCAGTTTGCAATAAGGCGTTCAAAACTGGTGCTGCCCTCAGAGCGCACCTTGCGACCCACACAGGGGAGAAGCGCTATGAGTGCGCGAAGTGCAACATGAAGTTTGTTCGCCGAAGCAATTTGAAGATACATCTTAAAACACACTCCGATGAAAAGTCTTTTGAATGCTTGGTTTGCGGGAAGAGGTTCAAACTACAAGATTACCTACGAAAACATCTAAAAGTCCACAGAGATGAGAAACCTTTCGAGTGCTCGGTTTGCGATATGAAGTTCAGGGAACGAGGAAATCTGAAAAGTCATCTTCAAATCCACAAGGAAGAGAAGCCTTTTGAGTGCGCCATTTGCTTTAAGAAGTTCAGAACCTCATTTCGCCTGCGCCTTCACATTCGAACCCACACGGGAGAAAAGCCTCACGAGTGCACCGTTTGCGGTAAGAAGTTTAGATCATCAGGTGGTCTTACAATTCATTGTTTAATTCACACAGGTGAAAAGCCTTTCGAGTGCTCTGTGTGCAGTAAGAAGTTCAATCAAAAAGCTAACCTCGCAACTCATGTTAAGAGTCATTTAAACGAAAAACCTTACGAGTGCTCGAAATGTAAAAGGAAGTTTGCCAAGAAAGAGTATCTGAAAAGTCATCTTCAAACCCATTTAGATGAGAAGCCTTTCGAATGCTCAGTTTGTTGTATGAAGTTCAAAAGGCAAGATTGCCTAATTCTTCATCTCAAAACCCACACAGGAGAGAGACCGTTTGAGTGCTCGGTGTGTGGCTGGAAGTTCAGGGTGTCAGGTAATCTTCGGAGTCATCTGAGAATCCATACAGGAGAAAAGCCTTTTGAGTGCTCGGTGTGCAACAAGAAGTTCAGCTATTCAGCCAATCTCCGGACTCATTTAAAAACTCATATTGTGGCCAAGCCGTACAAGTGCACGGAATGCAATAAATTGTTCAGCGAAAGAAATCATCTGATAGATCATCTTACAACACATTTAGAGGAGAGTTCATGACAAACGGAGACAAATTTGTGGGATAGATGGTATCTCAAATTGGACAAGTCATTGCTCGAACAATATGTGAATCGGCATACCCTTAGTTATCTCCTCAGTTTTTTCCCTTAGATTTTGTTCAGTAGCAGACACAGATGTTACCCTCTGGGAATTTACATATTTTGTTTGTACAAACGAAAACTGCGAGGTCAATGGTAGTATGAAGGAGGGAAAGGGCCCGACTGCAAACGTGTGAAATGACAAAACTGTCCACTGTAAATATATTTGACGATTTGTAACCTTTTTTCAAGTGCTCTTAGCGTTTTAATTGTACTTTTGTCTCTGTCTGGGGAGGTTCCTCGCATGAGGTTCCGGTGGCACCTCAAGTTGTTTGAGAACGATGAAGGTTGATATGAAGTGTGGTGGTGGTTTGTACAATGTTCTGTATACATGAATCTAAATAAACCGGGCCAAGGCCTAAATGTATTGTCTATTTTTATATTTTTTGCATTAATTTCTCCGTCACTTTAATTCGTAGATTGCTTAATTGCCATTGCTTATCGCACAGTGACATGCTCTAATCGGTGCAACCTTGAGAAGCTCACTCCTTTACGCTAACAACACAGTAAATGTATTTGTACTATACGATTTGAATCTGAATATTCCTCGTAAATTGCGTAGAATCTTCTTAAATTCACATAGAATCTTGTAAAATTAAGGATATTTGTTCAAATAACCCCAAGAATTTTCGCCAATCTTCTGGTGCCAGGATTAAAGGTACATGTTCTGATCGATATCTTTATCGATTTTCAAGCTGTTTTCAGGACCCCATGACTCCTTTCAGGACCGTATGAATCCTTTACATGAGAGTCAGAGGCACTGCCTGCATTAGAAAAATGGCCATCCAAAAATGTTAAAAACAACAAAGTGGGCAAAAGAATGATAAGGGATTCGTCCACTTCACATGAGCGACTAAGTTTTGTCTTCTTCACATCAGCGACAATGGATGGTTTTGGCCCACTTGCAAAAAAAACTCCAAGTCAACTGATTTTCTAAGTGTAATAATGAACTAATTTAAAAAGCAATAAAATTTTTATTGCATTAGTAGCGCCATGAAAAAGTTATTGCATTATAAGTGCAATAATTATTTTATTGCATTAGCGCATTTATCGCATTATTAGCGTAGTTATCATTTTATCACATCAAAACTGTGATAATCTGGGCCCAGACAGGCCAAAACCTAGGGGACTTATTGCATTTTTTAATGCGATAATTTTTTTATTGCTGCCACAGATGCGATAATTTGAAGGAATCACACTAGCCTTTTTATCGCAGCAAATTGTATGAAACTTATCACATTAGGAATACTAGTGTTGGTCTATTGTGCACAGGGAGTAAAAATAACTTCTACAAATGAAACCAACAAACTAAAAGACAGTGATCAACAACTTTTAATGCAAAGTTCAATATTCCGTAAAAAGCGAAAAATTGTCACAATTTTTAACCTAATTTACACTGAGAAAACCTTACAAACTATTTCAGGCCTTACAAAGCAAAGCAGTTTGTTAGAACAAAGTATTTTGAGCATACATAAGCTTACAAAGAAAATGCTTCGTTTTACGAACTATTTCTTCGTATAACAAAGTAAATTAGTTTGTACGTATGTATGCTCAAAATACTTCGTAAGGTTTTAAGGGTGTAGATCATTGGATGTCGACCTTACTGTTGTCCCTGACCTCGGCACGCACGTACGATTCCCTCCCCGAGGCCCAAACGCACAGTGGGCCAGAAGCCGGTGGAGGCGGCCAAAACTGTAGATGCGTTTTGAGCCCCAGAGTCGCTAAGCAGGACTCGAACCGATCGTAAGACCCCACCAATGGATTGCTCTCCGAACGAGGAATCCATTGGTGGGGTCACACGTTCGTTTCGAGTCCCATTTAGCGACTCTGGAGCTCAAAGCGCGTCTAGAGTTTTGGCCACCTCCACCGGCTTCTGGCCCACTGTGAAACGCCCCTCTTCTTCGACCTCTCGATTATTCCCAGCGGCTGAGATTGTGTCGGAGAGGCCGTGAGGGAGCTGAACGTGGAAATGTTGTCGCCACTGACTGTGAGTAATGGCAAACATACCAGCATGCGCGCAGCGGGCTGATTCCGAACAGTGCCTCGTCGCGCCGTCTCTCTCGCACGCCCGCGTGACGCCTGGGAAGAGCGAGAGAGCTGCAGTGAAGGCGCTGTTTGGGATCGGCCTGCAGGCGTGACCAGATAGGTCGCCAAGTTCGCGAGAAACATCAATAATAATGACGGATCCAGGGGGGGGGGGGGGGAACGAGGGGGAATGCGGTGCCTGGGACGTGCTGCCAACCGATAAGCATTCCTGGAGTATCGACGGAGGCGAAGTGCATGGCAGGTCGAAGGGTCGAAGACCGCCGCCGCCCGCAGACTCCACACTGCAAAGCCAGTGGCAAGTTTACTTGCCACAAATTTGGCAAGCCGTTTTGATTGCCAAAATTTGGCAAGCTTTGGTCGGAAATCTTCATAAGCTTGCCATATTTTGGCAAGCTAGGTGGTATTTTCGGGCCTAGCTTGCCAATTTTTGGCATTCAAAACGGCTTGCCAAATTTGGGCTGTGAAGCGGAAGAAGGAGATAAGTCAAATCCGCTCACTTTTCAGGAAATACTAAAAACATGTTGCCCCCTTTTGTTTTGAAATGTTCAGACTAAAAATAATTTACCAACATAAACCAATAACAGATCATTTGGCATATATGGTGTATCATCAATATTTCTATAACATTGGTGACTTATCCCAAGTTACGGAGTGGTAAAATGAGATAAGTCAACTTATACATTTGCGAAACCCCACTCAAAATGAGACAAGTCATTTAAAAATGATTTAAAGAGGTGTATCATAATTGTTTTGGTGCATAAAATTAGCTTACTATTAGAGTAAGTCAGACCACTAGTTTGAACCCCAAACTCCTATTCGTTTCTGAGTATTAAAGGTTTACGCAATTTCTACATTTTTAGCGTAAACATTTATATCTCAAGAATGAGTTGGAGTTGAGAGTGCAAACTGCTGGTCTGAGTTCTCCTGTTAGTAAGCTAATTTAATATAAAAGTTCAAACCTTCTGAGAGCATTTATTTAGAACAAGTGTAGAAATAGTTTAGAGGTAACTTGACATATCTCTTTTTTCCACCGTTCACTTAACGTAAAAGGGGATATGTCAAGTTAGCTCATTTTTTAACTCTGTTTTCCCATGAAACTAAGTGAGATATAGACCAGGGCCTTTTATGAGGTGATGCTAAATGTTTTTGAGAACCGTTTTCTGGAAAAAACTCAATTTTGGGATAAGTCGACTTGGCTCACTCTTCCGCTTCACAGCCCAAAATTTGTGGCAACTAAACTTGCCACTGGCTTTGCAGTGCAGGGTAGGCCCGCCCGCAACGCAGGCCAGCGCTGCGGGGTGCATACGCGGCCATCCATTACCATTAAGGGCTAGACCACACATGATCGTATGCCATTTCGGGCCCGACACATGCCCGCCTGCACTGCAAAACGAGACATGGCCGTCCTTACTAAGGTGACACTTTATCCCGGCGGGGAAGAGCCTCAAGCGACTACACTCTAAATGTCTTACGAAGAAATTTCCCATAATACGAAGGAAATGGCGCAAGCATAATACGAAGGTGGTTTTTCTTCGTATTACGAAGGTCTTTCTTTGTATCTTACAATGAAAAAGCTAAAAAGATTCGTATTACGAAGGAATATTGCTTCGTATTATGCTTGCGCCGATTTCACTGTAACATACGAATAACATAGGTCAAATTTCATCGTAAGACATTTAGAGTGTACAAGCCCCCACTCACAGTATGGCCAGTCAGGGTGCAGGCGCTAGCGGCCAGGCTGCCGGGCACCAGCGGACTGACTCCGAAAGTCGTTTCCGTCGGTCTGTCTCCCTCGCACTCGTGGGCGTCCCGTGCAGGTGCGAGAGGGGCGGAGCGACGAAAACGACTCTCGGAATCAGCCTGCGGGTCCGTCTGGGTTGACACACTAGAAGCGGGGCAGAGAGGGGGAGTCTAGCCAAAGTCTAGCGATGGGAAAGATAGAGAAGGGGGAAGAGTGGGGGGGGGGGGGACTGAAGCGTTGGCAGAGGCCTGGACATTGCTTAGCCGCCTGAAAGAAAAGTTTGTTGGCAAACAAGCAGCCCAGCACACTGCACAGCAGCCTCGAAGACGAGCAAACGACAGACGAGGCCCGACGGGGCGCGGCCCTGGTCGGCCCCGGGCAGCCCCAAGCGCAACACGAGCCTGAGTAGGCAAGAAAAACGAGAAGCAAATACCTGTTCCATCTTTTCTTTTTTTCGGCACCGCCACACAATCAAACACAGAACACGCACAGTTTTGCAGACGGATAGCGCGTGAAAGCATGGACCAGGAAAGAATTTAACTGCCGAAGGCAACTGAGAACAACGTGGCTTCACAAGCTGGCAAAAACTGGATCTTTTTTTCAGACCTCTGTCAGTCACTCTAAATGTCTGACATTGTTACATTGAGCTCGATCCTTCGCGATGCGAATCTTTTCTGTGTTTTCATTGTAAGATAGAAGGAAAAACCTTCGTGGGGCGAAGACCTTCGCACTATGCATTTTCTTCATATCATGGGAACACTGAAAAGTCAAAGGTCAGAATTCATTCCAACCTAGGGGAAAGAAAAAAAGTCTCGCCAATTTTTGGCGAGAAACAAAAGTCTCACCATTTTTTTGGCGAGAAACTAAAGTCTCGCCATTTTTTGGCGAGAAACAAATGTCTCGCCAAAATATGGCAATAATTGCAACCCCACTCTATTTGATACTGGGAAATATATCCCAGTCAAGATCACTCCGGTAAACACATCACTAACTACAGTCTTTCAATTACTCAAGTTGAAAATAATACAGGAAACTATCACTTTCAGTTATGAAAATATTAATGTAAGGTTATATTATGTGAATTTGGTTTGCGTCAGCAAAGCGTTGCCCAACTATTTACTTTTTTTGTCATCGTTTAAAAAGACATTGGTCCAGTGAGTCAGATCCTAAAAGGTCTCTTTCGGTGTCCATGTAGTTAAAGATAATGTCTTTAATAAGAGGCCTAAACAAAGCGACATCCATGATGACACAAGTTCTTACTCACTCCTTTGACTTATTCCAATCCCCAGCTTAACCTTGCTGCACTTGGGCATTGTTGGAGGTTCCATGGACAGAACTCGGTTAATAAACTCGAGTTAAGAAAGTTCTGTGCACTATCTAGCACTCTCCGTTTCGCCGTCTCCACTGGACAAAATGCCAAAGTAAAGCAGCAGCACTTTAAATCGCCAACACAGATATAATAAAGAAAACATTTTAGTGCACAGACAAGCAACACAGCAACAGGACTGCCATGTTGTGTCGTCTGGTACAGTAGCATTTGTTTTGCGGTAGTGCCAACCTATACATTTTTTTCGTTACTTGTAAAATTACTTTTGGAAGGCAGTGCAGGTTGGCACTACCGCAAAACAAATGCTACTGTAGCAGACGACACAACGAGGACAACAACTGAATTTCAACATGGCAGTCCTGTTGCTGTGTTGCTTGTCTGTACACTAAAATGTTTTCTTTATTATATCTGTGTTGGCGATTTAAAGTGCTGCTGCTGTACTTTGGCATTTTGTCCAGTGGAGACGGCGAAACGGAGAGTGCTAGATAGTGCACAGAACTTTCTTAACTCGAGTTTATTAACCGAGTTCTGTCCATCATGGATGTCGCTTTGTTTAGGCCTCTTATTAAAGACATTATCTCTTACTACATGGACACTGAAATTGACCTCCCACTGGACCAATGTCTTTTTAAACGATGACAAAAAAAAAGTAAATAGTTGGGCAACGCTTTGCTGACGCAAACCAAGTTCACATCATATAACCTAACATTAATATTTTCATATCTGAAAGTGATAGCTTCGTGTATTATTTTCAACTTGAGTAATTGAAAGACTGTAGTTAGTGATGTGTTTACCAGAGTGATCTTGATTGGGATATATTTCCCAGTATCAAATAGAGTGGGGTTGCAATTATTGCCATATTTTGGCGAGACATTTGTTTCTCGCCAAAAAATGGCGAGACTTTAGTTTCTCGCCAAAAAAATGGCGAGACTTTTGTTTCTCGCCAAAAAATGGCGAGACTTTTTTGTCTCACCAAATTTTGGCCATCAGTCTTGCCATTCAATTTTCAGTGAAATTACTTTGATTTCTTCGTCAAACATTTAGATTGTTTACTGAACTTATGCGTTGTGCGCGGAAAATTTTTCGCAGCAATGGCTCGTAAAAATGTAACATCAATTGCGCTGCTTTAAAAAAAGTGAATTTTGTTTTGACTTAAGTCTTGCCTGAGTTTCATCAGTGGTGATTCAATAGACTTGCTTCCCCGTGTCGCATCCTCTACTTCAGGTACAAACATAGAAATTCAAAAACAGCGTGCAAAATACGCACGGAATGCATTAAACGCAAACTGGAGTCCAAAGTGCCCAGCCAGAATACGACCACACTGTGTGCGCAGTGAGGTTTGTTACGGAGCCCGCCGCTGCGCATAGCTGTCTGCTGAAATGTTTTTCCGGCCAATTTGACGCCCAGCAAGTGCGGCGCGCCAGGGCCCGGCAGTCTGCATCCGAAGCGCCCCGTCGCTCTGTCTCTCTCGCACTCACGGGGCGCCCCGCTGCGGTGCGAGAGAGACAGAGAAGCCCCGCTCGGACGCAGCCTGCTGCCGTCGGCTCACTCGGGTAACTGCTCAAGCGGGGCCCATTCCGCGGGGCTTAAGTCCCGCGGTCTTTGTTAAGGCAACGAACAAGGCGGCCACGGCCAGCAGGCCGCCGCACGCCCCGCGGAATATGGGTCCGATCGCCTGTGCGCTCCACTTGTTGCTTTTTGGCATGTCCAGAGGCATCACCGACTGATACGACACGGAACGTGCGTGGATAGTCTGACGCGTCGACGAGTTTTCAACACGCTGCGATTCCACAGACTGCATTGCAAGGCCACACTGCAAGAAAAGGTGTGAATAGTACAACAAAAGTACAACAACAACCGTACAATATAAGTACAACAGCACTGAGAAAACCTTACAAACTATATTGGGCCTTACAAAGAAAAGTAGTTTGTATAGCAAAGTATTTTGAGCATACGTAAGCTTACAAAGAAAATACTTCGTAATTTACGAACTATTTCTTCGTATAACAAAGTATTTTAGTTGCTCAAAATACTTCGTAAGGTTCTAAGAGTGAGGGATTGTATAAAGTACAACGAGAATTGTACAAACCACAACGAGCCCTGGACTGCACAGGACTCGTAATGCCGGTTCCATTGTACTTAACAATTGTTGTACTTTAAAAGTACAATAAATTTCTGATAAAAAAAATTGCCAGAAATTTGTGTACTTTTGTTGTGGTTTTTTTCCGAGGGGCAAACAACTTCGTCAAAATTTGTACACCGTTATTTCAAATTCACGTTATTTCACGTTATTTCATTGTTATTCCAACGTTATTTCAAGGGTATTTCAACGTTATTTCGCGTTATTTCGTGTTATTTCACGTTATTTCGCGCTATTTCACCGTTATTTCACGCTATTTCACGCTTATTTTGGCGTTATTTCACCGTTATTTCACGTTAATTCACCGTTATTTCACGGAAAATGTACACCTAAATTCAAGTTGTTTGCCCCTCGTTTTTTTCTAGCAGTGCAGCGGTAAGTTTGCTCGCCACAAATTTGGCAAGCCGGTTTCAATGGCGAGATTTGGCAAGCTTTGATCTGAAATCTTCATAAGCTTGCCGAATTTTGGAAAGCTGAGTAGTATTTCCCGGCTAAGCTAGCAATTTTTTTTGATTTCGAAACGGCTTGATCGCACCTTACGTGCGGTTCTGAACATGCCCTACACCGTGAAAATTTGTTGTCACTTGTTGACAAAAACGTGGATGATATTTTCATCAAAGCTTCTGTCCATATTGCATGGGCTTGACAACAATGTCAACAATTGTTTCGATGACATTATTGTAAGGAGAAATAACCTCTGCATCAAGTGAAGAGTCAAATTTTCACGGTGTTTCCTCACGCGCGCATGTGTTCCCCCATCTATGTGAAATCTGCAGAATAAAATGTGAAGTCTCGTTAAACGAAATGAACACACAGTCAAGTCCTTACGGATAGCGTGTTTGTAGGTTACGGATAGTTTTGTGCAGCCATATTACGGATCGAATTTTGTTTGAAATACGGATATTTTTGTCCGTAATACAAAGGTTTTGATGTCCGTAATTTACAGATAATTTCGTTGTAATATACGGATTCTCAAATCTTTGTATTACGGACAAAAACATCCGTATTACAAATAAAATTCGATCCGTAATATAGCTGCACAAAACTATCCGTAACCTACAAACACGCTATCCGTAAGGACTTAAGCGTGCACAATCATTTAAAGTGTGTGCCTCTAAAATGGTTTTCTTTCCGACGCGTTCGGCCGAAATTCGCTTCGCAACTCCAGTGCGTTAGGATCGCACGGCGAGCCCGGCGGAAGTGAACGCCCCTTTCTTTGTCCCCTTTTCCTTCCGAGCGATTCCGAACAGTGACGTCACCGTCAACCTCTTCCGTCGCACGCGTGGAGCACGCGGGTGCGAGAGAGACAGAGAGCAGGGGCTGCTCGGAGACAGCCGGCTGTGCCGGTCGGGTGTCACACCACCGGGGAAAGTTGCGCAAAGATGAGAGTCGTTAGAACAAGATGAGAGGGTGCGGGCGGCTCTCCGATGCCTCAAAGGCTGGAGGTGCGGCGGCAGCGGCGGGCGCAGTAGGCTCCTGGGCAGCGGCCGAAATTCGGCGCGAGAGGGATAGAATAGAGAACGCACATTCGCGTCGCACAGAGGCGGTGCAATGGGGACTTGCGTGGTCCCGCGGCAGCAAAACCTCCAACGTGGCGATAAACTGCTTCAATGGCAAAACTTGAAAAAAAAAAGCTGGTTTTCTAGCATATCTTTTGTCCAATGTTAAAGCTAGAGATTACCTTTGCGAGCAATTTCATGCTCTTTCAGATGCATTTTGCCGATTGAAAAAAGTTGAAAACTTGAACTGAAATCGTGCGCGCATTGCGGCACAAGATAATTTTACAGGCCTTTTCAGCGTGCTTCAGTGACGCTAAAACACATAAAGTATTTTGGTAATCGCATAAAGTTTGTACTTTAACAGAGTGCCCGCCGTTTTTCTCTAGCATTTATATCCGAATCCTTTCATCGGAGTTCTGAACAGGAGGTTCTAAAACGACCTAGAAACGTTTATTTTGTGACATAACCCCAACTTTGAAAGCCCACGTAAACCAAATGAAAGGATAAACATGCTTGCGTTTTGGTCTCGTCCCACTTGTACCCAAACTCTCCAAACAATGTAGACTAGGGGTGGGCAAATAATTCTTCAGTAGGAGGAGATCCTTTTCTTTTCGGCTTCTAGAGATTGCAGCATTTCATCAAACGGTAGTTTCACTAAGGAGGTAGAGAAATGGGCATATTACATTGGAATTAATAGACTGACGTCAATAATTGATAACTTTTTTATTCAATAGAGCGGTCAAAACAGTACAAGCGGCTTTTGAAGTCTCTACTCACTTTGAAGGCAAGTAATATATCATGAAACGTGGAACTAAGTGAAACTGATACTACACTGATATATTGTTAACAAAGTTGAATCAATTCTATTTTCAAAGGATCAACAGAAGCGTGCTAAGGACACATATTCGAGTCTAATGTCAGAGAGGGAATGCTATCATCAAATTCCAGGAAACAATATAATATTCTAAAATGGGTCTAAGAGCTACTTTGCCCTGAAGTCAACAGCCGAAAGCAGACCTCCATACAACACTTCCGCTAACAGAAGATTTCCCCGAGAATCTATCCAACACACACAACCAACATTCATTCGGTTACAATTATCTGCAACGTAACGGAAAAGTATCTTATTCCTCAAAGAGAATGCGCAGTTGAGACTAGTGAGACTGCTCTCTTATTCCATCTGCAAACTCGACATTCAAAGCCTTTCTCATGTGGGTTCGCGAATGCGTTCTCAGATGAGAGCTTTGCCTGAACATCTTGCTGCAAACCATGCACTCGAAGGGCTTGTCTCCTGTGTGGGTCCTCAGATGCGTTCTGAGCTGCCCACCATGGTTAAACTTCTTGTTGCAAACAGTGCACTCAAAAGGCTTGTCGTCTGTGTGGGTTCGGAGGTGTGTTGTGAGGTGTCCACTTTGGCTAAACTTCTTGTTGCATACCGTGCACTCAAAGGGCTGGTCACCTGTGTGGGTTCGGAGGTGTCTTGTGAGGTGTGTACTTTGGCTAAACTTCTTGTTGCATACCGTGCACTCAAAGGGCTGGTCGCCTGTGTGGGTTCGGAGGTGCACTCTGAGGTTGCCACCATGGATGAACTTCTGGTTGCAGACCGTGCACTCAAATGTCTTCTCTCCTGTGTGAGTCCGAAGGTGCACTCTGAGGTTTTCGCCCCGGCTGAACTTCTTGTTGCAAATCGTGCACTCAAAAAACTTCTCGCCTGTGTGGGTCCGGAGGTGTCTTTGAAGATCGCTGTTCTGAATAAATTTCTTGTTACAAACCGTACATTCAAATCGTTTCTCTCCTGTGTGAGTCCGTAGGTGCATTCTGAGGTGGCCACCTTCGGCGAACTTCTTGTTGCAAACTGTGCACTCAAATGGTTTCTCTCCTGTGTGGGTCCGTAGATGCTTTCTCAGGTGGCCACCTTCGGCGAACTTCTTGTTGCAAACCATGCACTCAAAGAGCTTCTCTCCTGTATGGATCTGGAGGTGCGTTTTTAGGTGGCCACGTTGGCTGAACCTCTTGTTGCAAACCGTGCACTCAAAAGGCTTCTGTCCCGTGTGGGTCCGGAGATGTACCGTCAGCTTTGACACGGACTTATTTTTTTTACCGCACACTGGACAGTCGTGACCCATTTTGATTTTGGGAATGATGAATTCCTGAAAAACAGAAATAATTGGTCACTCTTGCCACAGAAAATGTAGTCTCCTCACTCTAAATGTCTTACTGTGAATTGACCTATGTTAAAAGCGGTCTGGTAATCACAAAGTATATTGAGCATACATAAGCTTACAAAAAAATACTTCGCAATTTACGAACTAAATCTTCGTACAACAAACTAAGTTTGTACCTTGCCCGCGCGCAATACTTGGGAAGGCTGGATTAGTGAGATTTCCTGTTCTCCACTTTAAAAAAAAGAAGTATTGTCCGTACTTGTTGCATGTGAACGTACGTAAACAGTTACGTGACAAATAAACAGAAGTTCCATTCATGGCAAATGCGTAAGGTTCAGACAAATTTTTTACCACACTTCGTTGCGAACTTTTTCTGCCCTTTTTTCTTAGAGTGAAATTTGTCCCTTCCTTACACTTTCATTCCAGAAACGTGACATCACGTTGAAACGAACGTGACAAAATGTCACGTCCTATTCGTTTGGGTAAACTGGCCAAAAATCAGCTCGTTCACATTTAAACGAACGTGACATTTTGTCACGTTCGTTTCAACGTGATGTCACGTTCCTAGAATGAGAGTGTACATATGCTCGAAACACTTGCAGGGCAGTCCGAGCAGGCCCTGAGAACAGAACCAAACAGTAGATGTGGTGACACTTACCCCTCCGTTCCGTTTCGTACAGATCGCCGGCACACTGGTTGAACGACGGGAACCCCCTCACTGCGAGAACGACGGCAAGTTGCAGCGGACACGCCTTGGGGGAACCGGCTCGAAACTCAGTGCACGTCGGACTGCAAACGTTGCTCCGGGACAGCGACGTCAACGTCGGAGATCGTAGGCTGGAGGAACAAAAACGGGAGTTAGAAAAGAGCGTCCTTTGACTAAGGCTCACCTATCTCAAGCTTCCAACTGCCGGTGTTCGGTTCCGCTTAAAAAATGAACCAAGGACCGGCAGATCGTTTATTCACAGGTGTGTAAGGACTGAAATATGAAGAAAATAAAGGAGTCCGAAATAACCGCAAAAGACCAACTAGTTACTATAGGACGTGTAAAGCATCAATTATTTGACACCAGGGAGGTAGGTACAGGTAGACGATAACCTAATGCGAATTTTAAAACTTCCGTACACTTTAGAAAAATCTCATTCAACGAACGTTAATGAAAGCAGATGATACTCGTGTGTGCTAGTTTTGGCAGTATGGTCTCATCTTTGTGATTGTACGTAAAATTTTAAATAAAAGATAGAACATATATGATTGAAAATTATATTCCTTATATATGCCTAAGAGGTGGCTCCGAAGTCGGTACGAGGTGAGGAGCTGTGCCCCGCACGCAAGCCGAGCTGAAGCCTGCCTGAGTCCTTGCCGCGCGGGGTCCGCGGGCGCCCACGGGGCTGAGCCTAGCCGGGAAGCATTGTTGCGCGAATTCCGCGCAGACTGCGCCGCGGCCAGCCACAGCCAGCCAGACGCACCATCCCGCCCCGGCAGCCCGCCCCTATTGTATTGTTAGGATACGCACTTCGTTTCTGGACTCGTAAAAGCTAGCTGACACCTTTGTGTCTCGTAGTTTTAGGTGTATATTTTGTATATTTTAAAGCAAAGGTATCATCTGCTAAAAATCCACGGGAAAAGGTATAGGCTCAGTCTGGTAGACAATTTGCCTGGTACCACCGTACCTCGGCCAGTACGGCTTTTCGGGTACGGAGTACGGTTTTTCATAACATGGGCTCTTATGGGAAGCACGGTTTTGGGATACGGTTGTTCTGTAACCGTGAGATACCGTCTAGCCGTACCTTTTTCCTTGAAATGTACGGCTTTTTTAATCAGTGTAGGTTTATCAAATCTGGGTCGAATCAAGGGTCGGCGAAATATCTGACCTCTGTTGTAGAGCTTATTCTTACTTCAATCAATCGACGCTTGTTCTACTTCAGTACTTTGAACCGGCATGAAGCAAGAGGTCGATTAATTGTGAGGGTAATTATATGCTGTGAGATTGGTCAGATTCATTTGACTGCTCAGAAAATTCATATCGTTACTGAGAACACACGAATGTCCTCTATGATTGTACTTTGTACACAGTCAAGTGCTAGGGTGAGTTTTCTCGATGTGTCAATAATTTGTAGGAAGCTAAGGCACCCCTAGCGGACCATTTTTCACGAACTAATTAGTGGGCGCAAACGTCTAGTTACAAAGATAATTAGTGTTTTGTAATTTACCTTCGCGCCTTTGAGAAAGGCACCCGCTGCCACTGAGGATGGCGGGACCTCACTAGTGGGTATCAAGGGACTCGCAGTACTTGCAGGAGTGCCACTGACATCGCAGATGTATCCGTGGAGTCCTGCCTCCCTCGCGAAGACAGCCTCGAGGTCCACTGTTACGCAGGCCACCACGACAGCCACTTGAGACCCTCGGCAATCCCTCCGAAAAGACAATTGAAAGGCCCGCCTCACCCTCAAGAGCCCCGAAGCATCCCCGCTTGACCTGGGACACCCTCTCGTGAGGTCCTGCGAGCCTCAGTGGCGGGTGCCTACCTCGAAGGTGCGAACGCCCAGAACTAAACAAGAATTATCTCGGTACTTAGACGTTTGCACCCACTTTAGATTGGTGAAAAATGATCCCCTCGGGGTGCCCAAGCTACCTGCAAATTATTGACACATCGAGCAAACTCACTCTGTATGTGCGTACCGAGAATAAAATATCCAGTGCGTTTGGAAAAGACTTCGAAACTAGAGCTCAAATCGTGACACCATGTAATTTTGCACAGCCTTATTACGAGCTTCATATTCGTTCTTAATTTGTTGCTTGAACGAGGGTCTTCAAGAAATTGGCGTAAAAAGGTTGTATGACATAAGGCCCGCCGTGTCTGTATCATTCAGAACTATCTTTTCATCGACGTCCAAACAGAACGTTTTAAAAGGATCTAAAAACGTTTATTTTGCACCACAGCCACCTTTACTTTGGGAGCCAGCGTAAACCAAACAAAATGAGACAAGCTTGCCCTTTCGTCTCGTCGCAAATTTTGACCAACAATCACTTAACAATGTTTTGGACTCAATTGTGGTCAAATAATTCATTATGATACTAGGAATGTGCGAATAGTTGGGTATCGAATCGAATCAGGGGTGATTGATTCGATTCGGGGACGGATCTCTTTGCGTCAGCCCCGAATATTCGAAATTTTCGAACCGACAGTGGCTCGTCTTCGAATCGGTTGCTCGGGAACAACGGTTTTTAATGTTGCGCGCACAGCGTTGTTTCTAAACCAAGGCAAGATCAGATATTTGACCCTATGCCCTATCCTTTATTACAGAAAATGTGTTTTGAAACCACTATTTTTTATTAAATTCAGCTCGAATTTGATTCGTTTTTAAATCTTCAAGGGGGGGGGGGACATCCATCAATCAAAAATTGTCCAAAATTGCAACTTTTTGAAATTATTTTACATTATAGATCATTCCTTTCTGTGTCGAATGGCGAAAACCGCATTCCAAAAAAAAAGCGGGTTTTAGGAGGTGGTGGGCCTCAAACATGCTTAGGGGAAAAGCCCAACTTCCCCAACTTTAATCGCGTTTCTCTCGAAACATGAAATTGCAAACGGTTGCAGGCCTCCAGGACGCAGTTTTTTTAGCTGAAGCGGTGAGATTTAGCATGGAAGCTCCTACGACATGCCGCTATGGTGGGTAGCAAAATAATTTGCATAGGTCAACTGTTATAATTTTTTTGACGTTCAAAATTGAACAATTTTGACAAAACACTGATCAATTTTTTTTTATTTAACAAATGCAACTGAAAATGCTATTTTAAATGTGATTGCGGTACACACCATAGCCAGACATCTCAGGAAGGCAGTCACCAAATTTCGTTCTAGGTCAAACCGTTTGGCGTCCTAGCGCTGCAACAGTACGAAATGGTCTAACCTAACAATGAAAAGTGTGTTTTCAACGAAAGCGCTCTACTGCAAGAAAAAGTGTGAATAGTACAACGGAAGTACAACAAAAACTGTACAATAAAAGTACAACTGTTCAAACCACAACGAGGCCCGGACTGCACAGCACTCCTCATACCGGTTCCATTGTACTTTGCACAACAATTGTTGTACTTTAAAAGTGCAATAAATGCCTAGTTAGAAATTTGCCAGAAATTTGTGTTCTTTTGATGTGGTTTTTTCTTGCAGTGTGTACTGCCCTGGCATATTGACTTTATTATACTTTAACTGTTAAAATATGAACAATTTATCTCTTCCCGTTTGGTTTTAATGACGTCTTTACAAAAGTACTGTTTTGGAAGTGATGCACCCCTTTGAAGGTTCAATTCGGTTCGACAACTGTTTCCTGATTCAATTCGAGCTCAAATCGAAACTTCTTTTAGATTCGATTCGGCATGAAAATCCTTGATTTGCACATTCCTAAATGATACAATAAAACGACCATTATTTTTTTCGGCTTCTGGAGTATGGTATCAAGAAGTAGTGCTTTAAAACGATGTATTGATGTGCACATGACAAAAGCTTCGTCTAAATAATGAATACGTCAATAATAAAATTACTACTTCTTTATTCAGAAGAGCGGTTAAAACAGTACAGAGAAGTCTAGTCTTTAGAAGCAAGTGACAACATAAAACGTGAAACAGTTAAACTGATACAACGCTTATGTAATATAACCAAGGTTCAGTCAATGCCATCATCCAAGGACCAACCGAAGCGTGCTGAGAACAAACAAAGGAGTCTTAATTCAGACACGCAATGCCATCATCAAATATGAGCAGATACTCCACTCGAAAAGAATATCGTACTCTAACGAGGACCTAAGAGCTGCATTGCTCTGAAGTCAAAAGCTTAAAGAAAACGAACGTTAAGAACATACTTTAGATAACATTTAAACATCCAGACGTCTCTATGCCACAACAATTACACATTTAAAAAAAAAACTCCGACCCTGTATCATCTACACCGTTACAAACGACATTAGTTCGATTTCTGTATCACTTATCTACAAGCAAACGCTAGACTATCTCACGTTGGAAGTAATTTTGTTCTGAATAAAATTCGCGCTTAGCTTCCAACACCTCAACACGGCAGTAATATTTCTACATGTGTTCTCACTTAACTTTTAAAAATAAAAAAAACACTACAATTCTGCAGACAGCAAAAGATTGACACGGAAATGGTTGTTTCATACTTTTAACAAATCGGGAGTACATAAAAAAATCAAGCGCCATATGAGCAGTTTCAAACTGCACACTTACGCCTGCCGCTAAGTAATCGCCTTCCGGAAAGGAGACGTACAGTCAGACGCTTGTCCTCAAATAAAATGCGCAGTTGAGACTGCTCAACGTCTTGACTGAACTTCCATCTGCAAACTCGATACTCAAAGCGTTACTCTCAGCGTGGGTTTGCAATGCGTTTTCAGACGAGAGCTGTGGTTAAACTCTATGTTTCAAACCACGCACTTAAAGGGATGTGTCGCCTGTGTGGGTGCGAAGGTGCACTCTGAGGTTGCCACCTTGGGTGAACTTCTTGTTGCAAACCGTGCACTCAAAGGGCTTCTCTCCTGTGTGGGTCCGAAGGTGCACTCTGAGGGTGGAACCACGGTTGAACTTCTTGTTGCAGACCGTGCACTCAAAGGGCTTGTCTCCTGTGTGGGTTAGGAGGTGTCTTCTAAGATCGCTGTTTTGAGTAAATTTCTTGTTGCAGTCCGTGCACTCCCATGGCTTCTCTCCTGTGTGGGTCCGGAGGTGCACTCTGAGGGTGGGACCACGGATGAACTTCTTGTTGCAAACCGTGCACTCAAATGGTTTCTCTCCTGTGTGCGACCGAATGTGCGCTCTAAGGCCGCCACCTTCCCCGAACTTCTTGTTGCAAACCATGCACTCGAAGAGCTTCTCTCCTGTATGGATCTGGAGGTGCCTTTTGAGGTGGCTACGTTGGCTGAACTTCTTGTTACAAACCGTGCACTCAAAAGGCTTCTCTCCCGTGTGGGTCCGGAGATGCATCGTCAGCTTGGACACGGACTCATTTTTCCTACCGCACACTGGACAGTCGCGACTTATTTTCATTTTGGGAATGAGGAATTCCTGAAATGCAGAAATAAATTGTCACTATTACCGCATACAATATTGTCTCCTAGGAGACCATATTGTCAGCTGACAAGGTAGGTGTACGCCAGACTGTCTTATCGTAACAGGCTCCGCGATGCTGCTCCAGTTACGACAATCCACGCCTGGCGTTAACACCTACCTTGGCCTGCGGCGCTTACTGCTTGCCTTCAGCAGGCTTTGTACAACGCATTGCAACCGTGGCCCTACAGAAGCGCGAAACGAGACCGTGGTAGAATCTGGACCGTGCATATTACGGCCTAAAAATTTTGGGGCCTTTCTTAGACCTACAAGGACTACTTTTGGCCAAAAATGAAGGAAATCGTCATCGGTCGTGTACCACGATCGGACTTCATTAAAAAAAATGCTTCACAACTGAGAAAGAAAGAGTCATTATCGTAAGTAAACTTTTGGATGAGTAATTCTTCATTACCCAAAATTGGGAGAGGAAGGATTCCTCGCCCCTATATAGGTGAGGAAGGTTTCCTCACCCAAATTTGGGTCATAATACTATGGAGCCAGATAGGTAGCTAATACACCCTTCCTCTGAAAAATTTGAGCGAGGAAACCTTCCTCGCCCAAATTTGGGTGATAAAGTATACCTCGCTCAAAATTGGATATTGATCAAGACTTTTTCATTCACAGTGCACGGAAGGTCCAAGCAAATTCCGTCCCGACTTTATTACGTACTTTTTCTGATCTTTATTATATGGGTGAAAATAGTATGTACCTTACATGCTCGGAACGTTAGAAGCGTGTGCAGAGCAATACTCTTACAGACCCTGAGAACAGAACCTAGGCCTAACTGTAGATGCGGTGAAACTTACCCTTCCGTTCTGTTTCGTAACGATCGCCGGCACACTGGTGGAACGACGGGATGCCTCTCACTGCGAGAACGGCGGCAAGTTGCAGCGGAAGCGCCTTGAAGGAACTGGCTCGAAGCTTGGTCGGCGTCAGAATGCAAACGGGGCTCCGTCCCGGACTGCGTCGTCAACGTTGGAGGTCGTAGACTGGAGGAACAAAAACGGAAGTTACAAAAGATCGTCCGGTCGCACCGATGTCGGACTGGCCTGACCTAAGCTCTCCTAATGACTCGCAGCTTCCACTTCCGGTTCTGCTGGCAGTTCCACGAACGGGCAGATCTTACGAAATCAGGAGTCAAAAAATGACCGGAAATGCTGTCAGGGGAGCTAGTCGTGGTGTTCCTGAACGGCATGGAGCGGGGTTCGTACGGCAATGAGGACACTGTGTTTAAGGGTTGGATAACCTCCCACTCACCAAGCTAGGTCCGAAAGGTGCTGCCGCTCCGAGGCTCAGCCTACGACTGACGACTCGCGGCCAAGCCGGACGCCGCGAGCGCGTCTGCAAGATCAGCATTTCCTCTTTTCCTATGTTGCCTTGTGTCTATCCCTGACATGCCCCCCCTTTTGGAAAATAAGCGTCCTCGCTTATTAAGGCACTTTACTTAACCTTAAATTAGAGCCTAGTCGAACTATAACTAACGGTGTAAAAATATGTTACCTAACTTAACTTTCCTAAAAAAAAATACGCTAGTATATATAGGAAAAGGCGAAATGCTTATCAAAATTAAACAAAAAAAATTAAAAGAAAACAAAAATAATTTAGATCATTTATAGCTTGGCAAGCAAGAAGTATTGTTTACTTCAAAGTTCTGTAAAATTTTCTTTTCATTTCATGTCAACCCAACAGGCCTAAATATTTCTAAAGTTCCAAAATCAATCATGTTGCCGCGAAAGTTCAATAAAAATCGAAATAATAGATCAAAAGTTATGAATCAAAACAAGATATTTTAGATGTTCTGGGCTGTTTCGATGTTGTTGATCTCGAAGCCGGTCACGTCCTCAACCGCAGGTAGATGTTGTTCCCGCGATGGAGTGCGTCTTCCGTGACGCTGTGCACTCATGATGGCTGCAGGAAGATGTTTTTCCCACGTTGGAGTGCGTCTTCCGGGACGCTGTGCACTCATGATGGCTGCAGGAATATGTTTTTCCCACGTTGGAGTGCGTTTTCCCGGGGACGCTGTGCACTCGTGATGGCAGTGATGGCTTCTCGCACTTTGGCACTCCCTACTCAATTCAGGAGTGCCGCCATGCTTTCTGCGTCCTCGGAAAAGCACGTCGGCTGATGGAAGTTGACGTTCGCTTTGCACTCTCTGTGCACTCGACCATCGATCGTTCAGGTCGGCAGACTCGATGCGATGGGAAAATCGAGATGTCTGGATCGCAGCGTGCCTGATGGTGTGAGGCAGGCACTGCTGACGGACTGGGCGGGCGAGCGCTTGCCCATGCTGCTTGACAGCGACAGCCAGCTGACGAACTCACGTGTGTCGAGCAAGGAGTATCGCGGAGGCTGGGGTATCGCCGTGCCGTCTTGTTGTTGCTGCGGCAGCCGTGGCAGCGGAGGTGGCAGTGCCCCGTCCAGGCGATTGCTGACGCAGGGTGTCCAGTGTCGAGGCGGCGGCGAGACTCGCGGCGCGGCGTGGCGCGGCGTGGCGCATGATGTCGGGCGTCCACAGCGCTGGCCACGTGGAACGAGGCGCCGAACACGCGGTCTCACAACACAAATTTCAAGCCACAAAACACAAGTCCGAAAACTGTTTCCGTGAGACGAAGACATTTGCCCTCGCGGACAACACCACAGAGCCAGCAAGGCTTGTGGGAGGGTCTCCCCCCCAGAACACGAGTCCTCCCGCACTCTGCCATGCTCCTCCGGAAAGCCGTTCAGTCACTCTGCGCGTCTTTGCCTAAACAACCATTGAAACCATCCTTCGGCCCAACAAAATCGACCGCAAACTTAGCTAACTATCTAGACTAAATCTGAGAAATCGAGTTTGTGGCACTTCGAGGGCACTTTCGCTCCTCAGACAGCTACTAAACGGTCGCTGACCGCAAACCCCAAAATGGGAACCGGAAGCGAATTTCTACGGGATGATGCTGAAATCTCGACAAGCACTATCATGTCAAGTCTACACCCCACCGCAGCAGAAACGACATTCCTAGACCACGCACAACACTCCTAAGTACGGGCTCACATCCAAATTATTCAATTTTGGCCCAGCACCTCCACCATGTCAGGGGAGCTAGCGTGGTGTTCCTGAACGGCATGGAGCGGGGTTCGTACGGCAATGAGGACACTGTTTTAAGGGTTGGATAACCTCCCACTCACCAAGCTAGGTCCGAAAGGTGCTGCCGCTCCGAGGCTCAGCCTACGACTGACGACTCGCGGCCAAGCCGGACGCCGCGAGCGCGTCTGCAAGATCAGCATTTCCTCTTTTCCTATGTTGCCTTGTGTCTATCCCTGACAAATGCCCACCTTGTAAGATGTTTTAAGTAACAAATATTTGACACAAATTCAGTGAATGCTTGTGTATGCTTAAAATACTAGAGGGTACTTTTCGTTGTACGCCTTAAAATAGTTTGTAAGGTTTGAAGAGTACTTTAAGAAAGCCATCTCAACTCGCACGGCACCAGGAAGACTATCTTAACTGGATAGGTCTTGTTTGAGAGTTGGACTTATTTCCCCGTGATCCAGTGACCTGGCGAGCTAGAATGGTCTCCCAACACCAGCGAGTTAAGATGGTTTAACGGTGGCCAAGGAGATACATGGTAAATCAGCACTGACGTCACATCTGCTGTCCCCGTTCTTCACCGAATCGTCTCCCAGTGACCGACGGCCGAATCCGAGGCCCCCGATCCAGGCAGCAACCTGTTGCCCACCTTTCAGGCAGCGACTGCCGAGCTCTGGGTGCAATGATGACCCGGGCCCACAATCGGGGCCCCTTCAAGAGGGGAACGGATAGCAAGCAGAGCCTCGCGGACAGTGGGCCAGATAGCCAGTGGAGGCGGCAAATATTCTAGACGCGTTTTGAGCTCCGGAGTTCCTAAACAGAATTGGAACCGCATTTGTAACTCCACCAATCGATTGATGGGGTCCACCAATCCATTAATGGGGTCACACGTTCGGTTCGAGTGCCATTTAGCGACTCCTGAGCTCCAAACGCGTCTAGAATTTTTGCCAGCTCCACCGACCCTTTGGCCCACTGTGCACCGCCACTGTGAGAAAAAAGTACAGAAAAAGTACGGAACATGTCTGGTTAATAATTTGCCTGGACCGTCCGTACTTGCCACCTACGGAACTTCCGTACTTTTTTTTCCGTACTCGTTTACATGGGTTCACATGGAGCAAGTAGGGACGACGTTCCGTACTTTTCTCCGTACCTCCGTACTATGTTTTCCTGTACCATTTCCGTACCGAAGTACGGAATTTTTTTGCAGTGACCGCGGAGCACTGTAATCCCCAGAGGCTGCTGTCGAACGGTGTTCTACTTCTCTCTCTCTCTCTCTCTCTCTCTCTCTCTCTCTCTCTCTCGGGCGACGGAACAGCATCTGGAATGTAATGGCAAGTGGCATCAAGGGCACTGCGGGCAGCGCAACGGGGCGTACGTCTCATTTGATTTAAATATTACACTATTTGAGGGAGTCGCTGGCAAATGGCTTAATTATCCTGAAGCAGTGAATGAGGCACCCCGACAGCTTGGTCCTTGGGGCGCGGCTCGGAGGGAGGGGCGGTTGGTTTGGACCTCTAAGTTATTCCTGTCATAGATGAGAGAGCGGGCGTCTGTTTCCACTATCCGCCTTGTTAACGGAATAAAGCACATTTTAATGTGCACCTTTTTTCCCTAGCGAGACCCGGTGGGCGGAACAGGTCCAAATTAACGGTGATGACTAGAAAATTCACTGCCAAAACGGTTCCTGGTTTTCCCAGCCTGAAGAAAAGACATTGGCGGTTTCCAGTAAGCTCCTAGGAAACCAGCATGGGCCGAACAAACACTGCAGCTGCAATGGACGCGGTTGAGTCAGCGGGCGGAATACTCAAACCTTCTTGAATAACAGGAAAAGTAGCGATATACATCGGCAACTTTGGCCCGTCCCGTACATTAAGAAACGTACGAATTTCACCTATGTTTGACCCCGACGGAATTAAAACCTGGATCTGGGGTTAAAATTAATGTCATTTTCGTCATCAGCACCATTAAAAACATCAGAAACAATGCAAAAACTCGAATAAAAAGAATGTTCAAAAAATACCCCGCTGGGATTTGAACCCGGGTCCGAACTTCTCCGATTCGCTGGAAACTGGCACCATTGTTTTTTTCTCGTTGCCCCGATTCCAAAAATACCCCTACATGCCCTCCTAGCTGCATCCGTTGCCGAGATCCTCCTCGACCCCATGTAGACCATGATGCACCTGCAGCAGCGCCCCCGGGGCTCGGATCGGATTTGCTGCCACCGGGCGGTTCTTAGGGTCACCCAAGGAGGCTGCATACCAAATATGGTCAAGATCGGACCACGGGAAGTCCTCGGACGAACGGACGGACGGACGGACGGACGGACGCACAGCAGGGATCATACTATATGCCCGTCCCTCCGTCATTTTTTTTTACAAAAAATGAACGGGACGGGCCAAAAACTGCGGTGAAACGCTCAAAAATTCTTTCGAATCTGCAGTGGGATACTCAAAACTTCTTTCAATTCTGCAATGGAATCCTCAGTACTTCTTTTAAAACTTCAGTGGAATACTTATAGCTTTTTGAAAAAAACTGCAGTGGCCCAATCAAAACTTCTTTCGAAGACATTAGTTAGTTGACGCTGCTCATACGGCAAAAACGGTTCCTGGTTTTCCCAGGAAGCCTATGGTAAAGACATAGGCGATTTCCAGGGGGTTCCTGGGAAAACCAGGAACAGTTTTCACCGTGCAACTATTGTGTGCTTGACAGGGCATGCTTAAGAGTGTACCTGGCGAGCACACGCGTTCTTGTTTTAGGGCAGGATGGCCGCAATTGATTGTGTACATTGCCATGTACGCACTTGTTTAACAGCTTGTCGAGTTGTGGACAGAAAGCGTCAACCTCCAGGTTATTGAGTTCTTCGAGAAGTCAGCCCGCTCTTCAGTTTGCGGAGCAATCGTTTCGTTGTTTCGGATCAAATTGGCGCGTGTACTCAGCTTGCCGGAAGCAGGAGGGGGTAGGGCACCCCGACGGGCTACGGCCCACTCAGCAACAACTGATACACGGCCGGGACCCTAATAACACACGTACAAGCCACAGCATTCCAGACCCAGGCAGGCCGCGCGGGGCGTGGTACTTTGTTAATGGGGGCGGGGGAGCCAGGACCGCGGCCAACTATAGCAAAGGGGGAGGGCGGCAGAACGCTGACCTTGGGTACAGCAGACCGATCCCGAGAGTCGTTTTCGTCGCTCTGTCTCTCACGCACTCACGGGGCGTCCCGCAGAGGCGCGACGGAGACAGAGCGACAGAACGCTAACTCTCGGGATCAGCTGCAGTATATATGAGCGACCCTTCGGATAGGCCCGGCCGGCGCGTAGAAATTTCGATGAAACTGTGAGCCAATTCTTCGTGGCCAAAAAAACAGAAAGGGGCAGGGGGTGGGCGTAAGGGGGAAGAGTAGGGGGATGGCCTCTTCATGGCACTGCAGGGACGCTGACCTCCGCCCTTCCTGACGGATTGGGTGTGCACCGGGCTGATCCCGGAGAGCGGTCACGTCGCGCTGTCTCTCTCGCACCCAAACGGGACGCCCCTCGAGTGCGAGAGAGACAGAGCGACGGAAGCACTCCTCGGAGCCAGACTGGACGTGACGGCCGGGCCGTGTCGAGCGCGTCAAGCCGAAGGGAAGAGGGCCGGCTATTTCGTGTCTCGGCTCTGACCTCTGCGCCGCTCGCTGCCAGCCAGAGCTTCCCAAACAGCTTCCCTGGCGGCGGCAGCAGCCCCGCCGGCTGATCCGATTGGAAACCGTTGAGGAGCCGTAGGGGCGTGCGTTGTGTAGAATATTCAATAAGCAGGAGGTGCCAGCGTGGTCAGCGGGGGCAAACCCTGCGCCGCGGACATCCAACTCCAGTGCCGAGTGCATCGACGAGGAACCGCAGATTCGGAAGGCTACACGGAAAAAAGGAATTCGTTGACCTAACGAAAATGTGCGTTGATTCCGTGATAACCGAAAAACTTTGTTGGAGTTACGAAAACTTTGTGTGAGTCACGAAATTTTTGTCGGTAAAACTGACAATCTGTTAGCGCAACCAAAAGATCCGTCAAAGGAACACAGTCATGATTTTGTCTCTCCAACTAACTTTTTTGCTCCGCCAACGAATTGTTCGTCGTACTAACAAATAATTCGTTATGCGAACAAACTTTTCGTAACTTAAACAAATTTTTTTCGGTTATCACGGAATCAACGTACTTTTTCGTTGGGTCAAAGAATTCCTTTTTTCCGTGTATGCTTTCGTTTACCATCTCAAGCTTACAAAGAAAGCACTTTTTAATTTACGACTATTTCCTCGTGTTACAAATTTAAAAGTTTGTATTACATGTGTTCAACATACTTAAGGGGGTAGTACACATCGCAAGGTTGCAGGGATCCTTAACTTACCTCATAAGTGCATCATAACGTTATCATAAGAGTTAAAGTTATTACCCTTAACTTGTAACATCTTTTCAAAAGGGTAAGTTATTTTTTTATGTCTCAAATTTGTGTGGATATACTTTTGCAAGTACTTTCATGAGTCCGTACCCTTAACCTATAGCGAACATTGTCTTATGTTACGTTATGACAGCAGTGTTAGTTAAATGTTGAGTTAAGTTAAGGATCCCTGCAAGGTTGAAAAAATTGTTGTCGAAAAAATTATTTGCGGGTAGAGGAGGTAAGGTACGTCAAAACTGACTATGGGACCTTATTTAACTTTCATTTTGGACCAAAATCACTTGTATGGAGCGCAGTTGGAGGCAGAAATTGCGACTTCCACGAATTTTTCGAAACCAGTGCAAAAATAACACGGTTTGCGTGATACAGACCGCAATATTCATCCGATTTGGACGAGATTTCGCATAGTCAACCTTGAGACCCGTCATTCTGGAGTGAACTAGAATACTTGTAATCAATTTTGTTTACCTATATTCAAACTTAAATTTTTTTGGAAGAAAATGGGCTAGAAAAATGCTGTTGTCTGAATTTGTCATTTTGCCATGTTGTTTGAGCTACCAACAATTAATGCAAAAAATTTTCCTTAGTTTACACCAGAATGACATGTATTTAGATTGAGCACACAACATTTGGATCCTTTAGGTCCCACCGTTTTGTCAAAATCGCGCAAACCAACGACGTATTTATTGCAGTGGTTAAGTGAAATTCGACGAACTCGCAATAGCTGCTTAAGACACCTTTCAAAATTTGTGATTTTGATCGTTACTTACAGTATAAAAAGATCCCATGATCAGTTTTCACGCCCCGTATGTCATGCGTTCGCAAAAAAATTTCGGAAACACGGTATTTTTTTGACCTTGCGTAGTGTACTACCCCTTCACTGCCGGAAATAACCACAACAAAAGTACACAAATTTCTGGCAAATTTTTTTATCAGGAATTTAGTGTACTTTTCAAGTACAATAATTGTTGTACAAAGTGCAATGGTACCGGCATGAGGAGTGCTGTGCAGTCCAGGGCTCGTTGTGGTTTGTACAATTCTCGTTGTACTTTCTATACAATCCCTGTTGTACTTTTATTGTACAATTTCTGTTGTACTTTTGTTGCACTATCTACACTTTTTCTTGCAGTGTTCATCAGGTTTGAAGCTTGTGCGTAGGTGACCCTGCCTGCATTGCATGCCTCAGTTCAAAAGCCGCATGACGGGGAGACTGCCTCCCTCATACGTGTTCGCCGGTCGAGCATACAGGGGCCCAAGAGAAAGCGCATAATGCGGCGAAGAACACAGCGCCGCCGGGTGCCCGCCGCCATTCTTCCTTTTCAAATTACTTTTTTCTCGCGCGTGGCTCGGCGTGGCGTGGCGTGGCGCCGCGCGGTGGCACCCCTCCGTCCGTAACATTTTCCCAGAACAAAACCGCCGACACATTCTTCTTACGGCGGGTCCGGAGCGCGACAGAGAGGGGAGAGCCGCTTTGTCACACTCTTCAAAGAGAGCCATTCTATTGCCTTTAATTATTATGATTATCATTCAGAAAAGGCGCGGGGGGTAGCGTGGTGTTTGCGGCCGTGCGGGAACCACCGTGACCGCGTCGTGGTTTATTTTCTTTTTCATGTTTTTGGTACTGCTTGGTCGGAGGAAACGTATGCGCTTTTTACTTGTGAAAAAGGGCGAAAAAGGAAAAAAAAAGGTTTCCTCGGGAGGGGGGCCCCGGCCTTTGTGAGACCACGGCAGACGGAATTATGTTACTCGTTTGTGGCGGCTGCCTCGCTCGCGACCGCCGAGCGACACACGGCTCTTGTCACAATTATTAACATTCCTGTCAGGGTCCACCTAGGCTGACTAGACCAAGGCCCAACGCGGCGAAGTGGCGAACCACAGCCCCGCATGACGTCACATGCATGCTTGGCAAAGTGAAACTTACGGAGGCGCACTTTTGGCCGGGCACACACTTACAACAGCATAGTCAATAGTACACTCAAAATTCGCCGAATTGTAGAAGGGTTCATTCGGGTTGATTCCAAGAGCGGCAAAAATTGTGGCCTTTAAGCGCCTTTAAGAGAGTTTGGAACTGCCGCCAATCCAAAGTCGTGATTTTCATATGAAATAGATTTACAATAAAATTCCATCATCAATTTTGACGTTCCTTCCCCTGTCAGAAAATGGGCCGCATCAACACACATAGTTTGAAGTTAAATGTATAGTTAACCTCACTAGGTCAGTAAAGCAGCTCTTTTCTTCCACTTGCTTCAAATGCGTTAATGACATGTTATAAGTGTAATTTTCAAAATTTGGTCATAAACACTCTTTAAACCTTACAGACTATTTTAAGCCTTACCAAGAAAAGTAGCTTGTTACTCCAAGTATTGTGAGCATACATACGCATTCAAAGAAAATACTCAGTATACCACACTGAGAAAACCTTACAAACTATTTTGGGCCTTACAAAGAAAAGTAGTTGGTATAACAAAGTATTTTGAGCATACGTAAGCTTACAAAGAAAATACTTCGTAATTTACGAACTATTTCTTCGTATAGCATTTACGTTTGTTATATGTATGTTCAAAATACTTCATTAGGTTTTAAGAGTGCAACTATTTCTTTGTGTAACGAAGTTAATTAGGTTCTGCTCGAAATACTCCGCAACGTTTAAAGCGTGTAAGAGGAGAAAGTTTCTGTGACTTAAGAGAGCCTACTATCTTCGAAAACTGCTGTGCATGGTAAAAACGGTACCTGGTTCTCCCAGGAACTCCCTGGAAACCACCTGTCTCTACCATAGGCTTCCTGGGAAAACCAGATTCCGTATTTACCGTGTGCAAACTAGCAGTTCCAAAAGGGTTCTTTTCTTTGACAGTGATGTTACGCAAGAGAGGAGCTGCTGTAGCTAACCGCATCAAGGACATACACTGTGGTGGCAGCGACAACAACTGAACCGCGCATGCAACTTGGGACGCTCGGCTTCCCCTCTCATCAGGACGACCTGTATCGCACAGTGCCGTTGCCCAGCGACCCTTCGCAGGAATTTACGACGATTTGGATCACGCAGGTATGTGGAACGAATATTTTATGTGTCTATAGTGTCCTCCAACACTCTCTCAGAACGGAAGCTAGGAGATCGAAAGCGGAAGTTTTAGGGCACATCGGAGAGGAGCTGGAGCGGAAGTAAAGAAGAAATCAAAAAGAACCGAGAACAAAGAATGCGAAATTTGAGAGAATGAGCGTGTGCGTCGCCGTTCTGCCGCTGTCACACACTCTAAATGTCTTACAATGAAATTTGACCTATGTTCTTCGTATGTTACAGTGAATTCGGCGCAAGCATAATACGAAGCAATATTCCTTCGTAATACGAATCTTTTTAGCTTTTTCATTGTAAAGATACAAAGAAAAACCTTCGTAATACGAAGAAAAACTACCTTCGTATTATGCTTGCGCCATTTCCTTCGTATTATGGGAAATTTCTTCGTAAGACATTGTGCAGTGTGCAGTCATATTCTTATACCGTTCCCGCCCAGTTTTCCTAAGCCATTTTTCCTAATGTGTATTTTTCCTAAAGACAATCTTCCTAAAGCAAATTTTCCTAATCAGGCTTTTCTAAAGACGCTTTTCCTAAAGCTTTTTTTCCTAAAACGGAATACAGCTGAATATCACCTTTCATAGGGTACTTAAAATTATTACCTTTAACGTTTAAAAAAGTTTTCAAAAGGATAAGTTATTATTTTGTTGTCTCGAATTTGTGTGGATATACTTTTGGAAGTACTTTCAAAAGTCCGTACACTTAACCTTTAGCGAACATTGTCTTATGTTACGTTACGAAAGCAGTGTGAGTTAAATGCTAAGTTAAGTCAAAGGATCCCTCAATTGCAGTTGCTTTACACGTTTTTTCGGTCTTGCCGCGCTTACAAATCCAATAAAATTTTCCTTTCACAGAGTTCCTTTTGTGTAGTATAGAAATCCATTAGGATGCAATTGTTTTCCAACTATTTCTGCCATTGTGAATTTGGAACCAAATTTGTAACTGAAATTCAGACGTTCAGCTTGTGTGGCCAGTGATCTCCCTAAAAATTTCCTACTGATTTACATTATTAGGAACATTTTAGGAAATCGTAGGAAATTTGAGATTTAGGAAAAATGACTTAGGAAAAGTATCCATTCGGAAACGAGTCCCTTAGGAAAATCAGATTAGGAAAAACAGATTAGGAAAATCGTACGGGAATCTCTTATACGGATCTGGCGTTTGTTCTTGATATCTTTTCAACTTCCGGCCCCGCGTTGTAGCCAGTTTGCACTTTTGTCATTTGACTTCTGGCCCAGGGATTCGGTACCACAACCCAGTAGTACGATTCCAGCCAGAAGAAACCGAGTGAAACTAAGATTTCACTACTTACGCGTGCCTGAGTCAGTAACCAGCTCTATAGATCGGAGGGTTAAATCGTCAATGCGGTTGGTGCTCAGCTGCGTAGCAATGTTTCGTATCTTCATGTAGCCAGAGGTAGGTTCTTCCAAACTATTGGTTTTTCAAATTCTGTTAACTGGTCGGAGCAACGAAACTTAGTACGCAAGACTGAATTTGAAAGGAAATGCCGCGTAGTGAGGGAACGTTCCTAAGATGTGATACGCAGGTCCAGATGACATTGACGGACTCACTTCTTGTGGTGTCAGACACAACGTCCTGTCTTCATTAAAGTTCTGAAGTTGAAACTTCAATCAAGTGACGGTGCAGTAGATACCGAGGTTAAAATTCCCGCTACGCAACGCCACTCCGATTTTTTTGATTTTTTTAATCTCTTGTGACTAACAGTCTTTATCATACAACGATTTCCGGATGTTGTTTCTTTCTTCTCACCTCATGAACTATTTCAAGCCTCAACGTAATGTTCCTTGTCATTTCTACAGTCATTTACGCATCCATTCCCTTCGTTTAAATAGCAACCTGTTATTTTATTAGGTATTTCTTCGTCTACATTCTTTGTGCCTTGCACTGAAAATTGACTTATGTTACAGTGAATTCGGCGCCATAATTCGAAGCAGTATTCCTTCGCAACACGAATCTTGTCTGAATTTTCATTGTTAGACGAAGAAAAACCTTCGTAATACGAAGAAAAACTACCTTCGTATTACTCTACAAATCGAAGAGCGTACATTGTATGCTCTAACTGGAGCATGCCTATAAGCACGCTCTAGTCAGCGCATGCCTGCCAAGCATGCACTTACTAGTGCATACATGCCATGTACACGCTTCCTGATGCAGGCAACTCCCTATCCCTTATGCACTAGATGCATGCTTCAGTTAGCGTGTACATGGCATATATGCACTAGCAAGTGCATGCTTGGCAGGCATGCGCTAGCTAGAGCGTGCTTGCAGGCATGCTCCAGTTAGACCATACAAAGCACGCTTTTCGATTTGTAGAGTATGCTCGTGCCATTTTCTTCGCATAATGGGAAATTTCTACGTAATGCAGTGTAGGAAACAAAGTTAATAGTTTGTATCTGACAAGTGCTCCACGTGTACCGCCTGTTCTTTCACTGTGGTCAAAGAGATCAATAATATAGGAGGGTTCAGAGAAACTGACGACCTTGTAACCTTGTGGTGGTTTCATAGAATTTCTCTTTTACAGGCACATTGAAGATTGCAGGGTCCAGGGCAAGGATTCAGCGTTTCACGTCGGTCTTTCTTTGACGGACCTATCTGAGGTAGGTGGGAAGTGTAACTTGGCTTATCAGACAGCGAGAGCGCTCTAGTACCGTAAACTGATCCAGGAACCGGAAGAAGGGAATAATTCGACTTTTCTCCAAATTGAGTTTTTATTATATCGTGCCTTAGAATGGTTTGCATCATTGCACCAAATTGTTTGACTAAATTTCTACGAGTTAAAGAGAAAATCCACTTCGAAAAAAGATGTAACTCAACTTGACCCCTTTTACACTCTCAATTTAGCAGAAAATGGAATCATCTCAACCAAAGTCAACATGACTCCGTTCAACATATTGTTGATAGGAGATAACTCAACTTGTGGTTTTATGTATCCATTGTAAAAAGAATCAAGTCAACTTACCCCCCTTTAATTTTAAGAACTTAAACTGTAAAAGAGCTAAGTCCAAAAAATGCACTAGAGGAACCAACACTCTGCTGACTATAGTTCCACTTGACATGTCTCCAAATTCCACTTCGTTTAAGAAATATAAGTTGAGATGACTCTATTTTCCATATAAGCGGAAAGCGATAAGTCACAGATATCGTATACGCAGTGACTTGACACTTCTGATGTTTATCTCAAAATTCAACTTACGTTTTTTAACTTGTTATCAAGAACCTATATAGCCCCAATCCGACTGACTCACTGACTGACTCACTCACTCATAGAAATGTTTGGGGTCAAGGAGTGGTCGTAGAGACCTGCGGGTTTTTCCATTCGATTCCAAATTAAATGGAAAACTTGAGAAAAATCTCAAAAGTCGAAAATTTCTCACTGTTTCCGAGCAAACCTACTCAATCTTCTAAAAAGGGGACCGAATGACTAAAAAATTTTATTCGCCTCATCGGTAGGTCTGGTCGAGAATTTCCGAAACTGTGCCGAAATCGGGACCCCGCCACCGGCAATTGGACAATCATCATCAAGAATCTATATAGCCCCAATCCGACTGACTGACTCACTCACTCACTCACTCAAAGAAATGTTTGGGGTCAAGGAGTGGTCGTAGAGACCTAAGGTTTTTTTCCTTTCACCGCTATCCTTGTCAAAGCAGTCTTCAATATTTTCCGGACCTTGTATGCACCCATTGACTGCCACAGTAGCCAATGCAATACAAGCTATCTATTTGGGCAGTAAAAGTAGCTTAATTATATGGTCAAAAGCGGTTAAATAGAGCTTTCAAAGAAGCAGGACATTTACTTCCTTAGAAAATTTGCCTGTGGTCACCACGGACTTACTGAAAATACTTCGGCACGCGCTCCACACATGCGGGGGTCTGGGGGCGGAGCCCCCAGCGAGCAGCGCGAGTCAAGAACCTATATAGCCCCAATCCGACTGACTCACTAACTCACTCACTCACTCATAGAAATGTTTGGGATCAAGGAGTGGTCGTAGAGACTTGCGGTTTTTTCCATTCGATTCCAAATTTTATGGGAAAATGGGGAAAAATCCCAAAAGTTGAAAATTCCTCACCGTTTCCGAGCAAACCCACTTTATCTTCAAAAAAGGGGACCAAATTCCTCGCAGTTTCCGAGCAAACCTACTCAATCTTCAAAAAAGGGGACCGACCGACTAAAAATTTTTATTCGCCCCATCGGTAGGTCTGGTCAAGACATTTCTGAAACTATGCCGCAATCGGGTGCCCGTCACCGGCAACATCCTCAAAAACGATTAATTAGGCCTAAATTCAACAAAATCCACTCAATCTTCAAAAAAGGGGACCGACCGACTAAAAATTTTTATTAGCCCCATCGGTAGGTCTGGTTGAGACATTTCCAAACCTGTGCCGCAATCGGGTCCCCGTCACCGGCAACATCCTCAAAACGATTAAATAGGCCTAAATTCAACAAAATCCACTCAATCTTCAAAAAAGGGGACCGACCGTCTAAAAAATTTTATTCGCCCCATCGGTAGGTCTGGTCGAGACATTTCCGAAACTGTGCCGCAATCGGGTCCCCGTCACCGGCAACATACTCAAAATCAATCATCAATTGTCATCAAGAACCTATAAAGCCCCAAAATCCGACTGACTGACTCCCTCACTCATCAACAACCTATATAGCCCCAATCCGACTGACTGACTCACTGACTCATCCACTGACTCACTCGCCCATAAAAATGTTTGGGGTCAGGGAGTAGTCGTAGAGACTTGCGGTTTTCTCCATTCGATTCCAAATTTAATGGAAAAATAGGGGTAAATCCCAAAAGTTGAAAATTTCTCACCGTTTCCGAGCAAACCTACTCAATCTTCTAAAAAGGGGACCGAATGACTAAAAATTTTTATTCGCCCCATCGGTAGGTCTGGTCGAGAATTTCCGAAACTGTGCCGCAGTCGGGTCCCCGCCACCGGCAATTGAGTAAATCATCATCATCAAGAATCTATATAGCCCCAATCCGACTGACTGACTGACTCACTCACTCACTTACTCATAGAAATGTTTGGGGTCAAGGAGTGGTCGTAGAGACTTGCGGTTTTTTCCATTCACCTCTATCCTTGTCAAAGCAGTCTTCAATATTTTCCGGACCTTGTATGCACCCATTGACTGCCACAGTAGCCAATGCAATACAAGCTATCTATTTGGGCAGTAAAAGTAGCTTAATTATATGGTCAAAAGCTGTTAAATAGACCTTTCAAAGAAGCAGTACATTTACTTCCTTAGAAAATTTGCCTTTGGTCACCACGGACTTACTAAAAATACTTCGGCACGCGCCCCACACATGCGGGCGGGGGTCTGGGGGCGGAGCCCCCAGCGAGCAGCGCGAGTCATCTATAACATTCCATTGTTCAGTTTTAGATTTCCCTGCTGACAGTTTTTTGTTGCCCCTGAAAAATGGTCAAAATGGAGTTATCCCCTTCTTCCCCTTCCTGAATCAACTGAGGGAAACACATTGAAACCACGTGTTCGGTCACCGAGAAGGCCATCATCTAAACCATGATGCCACGTATTTGCTTGCTGCTTTTAATATTAGACATGCGGCAGAACAGAACAAAGTTATCCAATGATACGTTAATTCGATTAGGTTCAAATATCACACACGTACTGTTTGAAGTTACCCCAGTTTACGATGGGTCGTCCCAGGCCCCGAAAATCATGGTCAGCATTCTGAAGTTGCACTTGCTCTATGGTCCCGTGCTTCCCCCCATTTTTTTGTAAATGCACATCAACTATTAATGAGCTTCATGAGCCGAAGAGGGACTGAGCGAAATTTGTGAATCCTGAGTCTTTTGTAAATTTCATTGTGCTCGGTAATTTTCGTTATTTCTGAAGGAGTGTGTGCCTGCCAGGCATGCACCAGGAAGTGTGTGCCTGCAGGCATGCACCAAGAAGTGCATGCCTGGCACACACTTAAGTTTGCAGAGAAGTTACCCCATATGACGGGGTAACTTAAGACAACTTTAGAGGCCCATGACTCTTATTTTAGTTGACCCCCAAAAAATTCATGGATTCCAAACGGATTGTAATCATGTGAAATTAAACATAGTTAGGATTCGGCTTGGTGAGAGCAGTTGGCACTCATCACAGGACCTACCGTAAAATAAAACCAATCGCAGAAACCAAAAAAATTTAAATAAAATAAATAATAAATAAAAAAAATTCCAATGCTAATCGCATTGCACGGTGTTCCCATTTTCACATTTGGCTATTTTAAAATAGCCATTTATTGGAGCGTGCCAGTGTCAACTGTTCAATGATTATGAGAACATCCAAAAATTTCAAAGTGCGCATGCGCTAAATTCTAACTAACCAATAGAAAAGAGTTCTGGTCAAACCTGATTCAGTTAACACCATGACCACCTCACTCCATCTCGCAACTTACAGTGCTCAAGTTCGCCAAACGAAAGTCACCCGCGTTCCGAAATCACCCCTCCCGAGTTTGTAAAGTTTGTCAAACCAACCATCGTGCTGTTTTTACGTTGTGAGTAAGAACTGTTCGACAGAATTGAGGAAAACATGACAAGAGAACCGCAGCCTTTAACAACATGCCAAACAATCCAACCGGAGCAACAATGGAGGGGCAGTTTCAATGCGCGCCTACTCTTTTTTTCAGCCACGCGATTTTCGAAAGGGCGCAGACAGCAAGCAAATCAGTGCCAACCCACGAAAATTAATTTGATGCGTCGTTTCTGCTACGAACTTTTTACTTGTGACAGACTTTAAAGATGTTCCAACGTTGAGACACCGTGCAATGCGTTAGCATCAGCGTTTTCGAATTTCACGGCGTTTTGATTTCTCTTTATCGGCGACTTTAAATTTTGACGGGTGGCACGATGGGACCATGCCGTTGCCATGGAGATTATTTTTCATGTTTTAACTATTTGCTCAGAACACAGACGATTTCTTGTTTTTTTGATGAGTCAGGAGGTTTAGTTTTGAGGAGTGGCACATTTTTTATTTGAACCATTTTTTCATATCATTAAGGGTTCTCGTTTTCGATTGTTGCAAATTTATGTTTTTCTAGTTTACGGAAAATTTCCACGATGAATTTTCGAAAAAAAATGGAATTTTCGTTTTTTCCATGGTTGAATTAGTTTAGCGTTGTTTATTTGAAAATCGGAGAGGGGGGGGGGAAGGAATCCACGGACCTCGGACAATAGGGGTTCTTGGGAACCCCTAAATATACTTACTGGGACGACTTAGGAAGGGGGCCACTCGGGTTGGGACGGGATAACCCCGGGACGTAAGGGAGTATGGGGCGATTTGTAACAGGGGCGATTCGTAACAAATGCGTTTATTAATTTAAGTGGAGGGAGCAGAGGAAAATCTGAGTATGGCCCCTCTTTCTCTTCAAGTAGAGGGTCTTTGAACAATCGAAGCGGATGTGATCGGTGCTCAGGTATAGTTTTGGAGGGCGTCTGAAATATAGGGTACACCGAAATTTCGGCAAACAGGCAAATCTTTTATTTTGAGTTCTAGGAAGTATCTGTCTGAGGCTCCACAGGTATGAATCACCATCGAAGTACCGTTGGGGCCTTGAAGCGTGACCCCTTTACAATGTAAACACGTGGCATAAGTTGCTTTTACTTTGTCCAGTGATAGTTAGGGACGGATTTCTTGCGTAACAGGCAATTGGGGTGATTCGTAACAGACCCGTATAAAAACAAGAATTTAAGTAGTTCTGCTGTTAAATGCTTGAATTATTTCTCGAATCATCTGCTGCCTAATTCCAATACATTTACACAGCTCGAAATGCATTTTAAAGCGAGTTATTCTATGCTTTCCTCTATAATTGAAAAAAGTGAGGTTAGGATTGTCATAGCCTATCAGTTAATGCTGAGGCGGTCAACGGCAGCTTGTAATGTAGGTTTTTAGACGTCTGCAGGACACCCGAAGAACAACTGGTGGAGGAGATAACATTCCCGACGATGTTTCATTTAATGTGTAGGATGTTATGAAAAGCCCCATGGCTGTTACAAATCATCCCACGCTGGGGCGATTCGTAACAGCATGCAAGGGTTTGGAAAACGTCTTATATTTCAAAGATTACGGACTCCAAATTGATCCAATGGAGCTGCACAGTCTAGATGAAGGGCCGGACTGCTAAACTGGCACAAGTTTGACACCGATATGCAGAATGTTCTTAATTTTGTACAGAGAATTCCGAAATCTGTTACAAATCGCCCCATACTCCCTTACTGGGCCAGGCGCAAGTTGGTCGGGACGAGTTGTCCTAGACTCAGAGAAGTTTTGTAGACACGGTCCAAAACACGTGAAATATTGTCTCAAGTTACCCCGGTTTACGGTACATTCCCGCTGTATGACGGCGTGACGATAATTTGGCCATGTGACCGACCATTCAATTTTCAGTGGATGACCAATTTGTCACTTCAAATTCCCTAACAGAAGTCGTTCTGGTGTCACAGGTTGAGGCGTGGACAGTATCGCACGAAGCCATGGAGTCAACAGTCACTCGCGGAGAAGTTTGCACTCCGAGCGCAGATTGGCGTAAGGTGAGGGCCTCTCCGTCAAACTACACTGCGCGCCTTAGGACTCGTACTGGGGACAAGTCTCCTAAATGCGCCGCCGCCGCCTGCAACAAAAAGTTGACTGCTGAAGGATATCTTCAAATGCACCTCTGCACTCACGCTGGGGTGAATCCTCACAAGTGTGCTGTTTGCAATAAAAAGTTCGCTCAAGAAGGAAACCTTCGGAGTCACCTCCTTACTCACAGCGGGGAGGGCAGTTTTGAGTGCATGGTTTGCAACAAAAAGTTCACTCGCGGTGGGAATCTTCGATCGCACCTCCGCTTCCACACAGGCCAGATGCCTTTTGAATGCGTGCTCTGCAATAAGAAGTTTGCTCAGCAAACACACCTTCGAGGGCACCTCCGCACTCACACTGGCGAGAAGCCCTTTGAGTGTACTATCTGCAATAAGAAGTTTGCTCAGCAAACAAACCTTCGAGGGCACCTCCGCACTCACACTGGGGAGAAGCCCTTCGAGTGTGATGTCTGCAATAAGAAGTTTGCTCTGCAAGACAAACTTAGGGTGCACCTCCGGACTCATACTGGGGAGAAGCCCTTCGAGTGTGCTGTCTGCAATAAGAAGTTTGCTCAGCAAGCACACCTGCGAGGGCACCTCCGCACTCACACTGGGGAGAAGCCCTTCGAGTGTGCTGTCTGCAATAAGAAGTTTGCTCAGCAAGCACACCTTCGTACGCACCTCCGCACTCACACTGGGGAGAAGCCCTTCGAGTGTGCTGTCTGCAATAAGAAGTTTGCTCAGCAAACACACCTTCGAATGCACCTCCGCACTCACACTGGGCAGAAGCCCTTCGAGTGTGCTGTCTGCAATATGAAGTATGCTCAGCAAACACACCTTCGAGGGCACATCCGCACTCACACTGGGGAGAAGCCCTTCGAGTGTGCTGTCTGCAATAAGAAGTTTGCTTCGCAAGCAAACCGTTCGGCGCATCTTCGTGCTCACACTGGGGAAAAGCCCTTTGAGTGTGCTGTCTGCAATGAGAAGTTCGCTCGTGAGGGACGCCTTCGACAGCACTTCCGTACTCACACTGGTGAGAAGCTCTTCGAGTGTGCTGTCTGCACTAAGAGGTTCCCTCAAGAAAGAGGCCTTCTGACACACCTACGTACTCACACTGCCGAAAAGCCCCTTAAGTGTGATGTCTACCATAAGAAGTTCTCTCAAGAAGGAAACCTTCTCATGCATCTGCGCTCTCATACCAGGGAAGACCTTTGAGAGGTGTTTGCATTAAGAAGCTCGTTTAAGAAAGAAACCTTCCTACGCACCGTCACGCTAACACCAGTGAGGAGTGTTCAGGTGTGCTGGCTGCAACAATCATAAGAAGTCATTAAGAACTACTGGGGCTACAGTCGTATCACCTTAAAACCCAAATTGTGTTACCTTGTTTTAGTTGACATCAGAAATTTTTATTAAAAAAAATGTTTTAATTTTAATTTTTAATTAAACAGTTTGTTGCTTTTATATTTCATTGGACTAAGTGGCTGACCTTAAGTGGAATGGCTACGATTTTATCCTTGCTTTTCTGTGAAAGCGGGGTCGGAAACCACGTGCTACTTCTAGAACAAACTGATTAAAGAGATAATTTTTTCCACTGCACAAGGGTTTTTTAATTAGAAAAATTATCTCTTGACGAGTGCCCGAGAATGCATCCCCGGCGCGATCCCCCCAACTTTTCGTAACCGGTGTTATGTCCCTGGCCCATTCTTACACGTCCCTTACGTCCCTTCAATAATTAGCTCTCCAAAAATATGTTTTAAAATCAATTTCCTCCCCAATACAAAATTGGGAGTGGTGCGGGACGCAGCTGTCAAAAAAATCCTTGAATTTGTCAAAACCACTCCAAAAAAGAAAAAAATATGTTCGTAAACCGGGTGGGACCAAACGGTGGGACCCAGAGGCTAGTGGGGACTGTCAGAAAAGAACGCATGTTGTCCTGACGCAGCAAACGCAAGATAAGCACAACACAAAAATACAGTACCTATGGAAGCACTGTAACGACACGCAATTTATGTTTGGTCGATTCGCAAGGAATACGTATCGAGGAGATGCCTGCGGGTGCCTGGACACCGCGGGGTGTCGTTGCAGTGCAGTAAATCTAAACTCAACAATCACAAAAGCAGAGAGTCGGGCTGGCGTCGGACCTGCGACCGTCTGGACGCCCTCCATGGGGGGCTGCAGGGGCACGGCTATGGCCCGGCTGGACCGGGGGAGGGGGCTCTGCCGTGGAAAAGAACAGAGACGAGATAAAGTGACCGTGACCTGCTCCGAATTTCTAAATGACCATGTAGTGTTTTGTGCAAGCTATGCACGGAATTATTGTGCATGCGTTTTAAGGGGATATGTTTGCGGCAGTGACTGGTGTCAGGGGTGTTCACTGACTGGACGAAGGGGTGCGTTAACGCACCCCTTCGATTTCACCTGCATGCTAATTCCGAACAGTGTCCTCGCACTGTATCTCTCGCACTCATGAATACGTTCCACCTTGGGTGCGGGAGAGACAGGGCGAGAAACGACCCTGTTCTCAGTCGGCCACCTGGCCGAGTAGCGCCTTGTGGCTTCGCTCCCACACGGGATCTACAAGTGCGGCTCTCCATTCAGCGAGTATCTGAGTGAAAGTACGTGTGTGTGTGAGAGAGAGACTGGGTGGGTGGTGTGTGTGTGTGTGTGCACGCGCGTATGTGTGTAGATCAGGTACTAAGGCGACCACTCTATACCAGATTTGCGCGGCGAGCTCCCTGGAGCCTCGAGGAGGAAGGGCTGTGAGTGCCAACACAACGTCCTAAAAAAAAGAAAGAAAATGAAATAAAGAATAAAAGTGCGGCCCTCTCGAGCATGCACCCGCGAGGTAACGTCCTCGCACCGGTTGGGTGATTGTATTTGCACAGATACACTTCGACAATGGCGGCACTCGAGGCGGGTTCTCGAAAAGACTGCTTCAAACATCTTTGTGCGCCTACGGAACCCCCGAGGGCATCAGCCCAGCCCTTGCCCCTCCAAAACAGGAAACGGGCTGTAAGTATGGTGCAGAGGGGGCTCCATTCACTGCTTCGGAGCCGGGTTTTATTATTCCGTTTTTTCAGTTCGGGTGTGTCAGTACCGGATGGATCATATGAGACAAATGTTGGTTCAATCTTTTGCAAGTTTACTGTTTCATGACATCCGTGTTAAACTTTTCGTTGAAAAATGGTATCATTAAGTAAAGTGCCTGTGTAGCCTTTTGCGTTGCACATGTGCACGAAAATTTACGTAACGTTTCCCTCTAGCTCTGTCCCTCTTGCTCCTTACGGACTGTCAGTGAGCGTGAGGACAGAAGCAAAGGAATATGTGAATGTCCTCAAGAGGAGAATGTATCGTTAAATAAGGTCTGTTTGTGGCCATGCCTTAACCGGTTTCACGGTTTCAAAACAACACATTATGACACGGTAGCCCAAATCGTTGCGTCTTTCTCGCCTAGGATGCCAGTGAGAAGAAGGGGTTAATCAAATTAGCGAGAAGATGGTCACATTTTTCTCTAAAACAACTTTAAAAGGTCACGTTGTCATGAGATTAACTTTTTTGTTCTCCCTGACCGCATTGGCTGTCTGCCGATAAAGGCGTTGAGGTAAACTGAACTTCTCTGTTTACAAGAAACGCCCCCGCAGCGGCTGCAGGGCATCTGCAGTGGAAAGCGGAGGCGGAGAAAACCGCCCCGCGCTGCCCCAAGTCGTAGAAGTGTCAAATGCAGGCAGTTCTGCGGCCACGCTGCCGCGCAGCGCGGGCGGCAACCAAGGCTGCGTCCCCATCACCAGCACTCACGCGACCACAACCTCACAAAGAAGCGCTTGTTGCCACGAAGATTACCACACTACACTGTTTGTCGGGTATGACGTCACACTCGTTTGAACGGGACACGGCCGTTCAGTTGGGATGCCAGATTCGTTCGAGAAAGACTTTCAAACAAAGGTGGCGTACTTAAATGAACGTGAAAAAATTAGCATTTTAACGATATGACGTCACACACTGTGGCAAAAAAGTACGGAAAATCCTGTTAATTTTTTTGCCAGGATTCTCCGTAGCCCTCTTATCAATATTCTCCGTAGTCTCTTACAGTATTCTCCGTAGGGCCGCACAGTATTCTCTGTAAATCCGCACAGTCTTCTCCGTAGGACCTTGAAGACTGTATAGTCCTACGGAGATCACTGTGCGGTCCTACGGAGAATACTGTGCGGTCCTACAGAAAATACTGTAAGAGCCTACGGAGAATATTGATAAGGGGCCTACGGAGAATTACCACAAGCTGTTCACAGAATTTTCCGTAGCTTTTTGCCACAGTGCATTTGTTGAGTATTACGAGGACACTCTTAAACAGTGTTTGCCCTTCTCCACACAGTACCGCCATGGGAACGAAAAAACAAACTGCTGGACGTGCATTACCACTGCAAATTCAAAGGCGATACTTGAGCACCTTTTTTCGGCGATACAATTGAGTATCGCCAACAAACGGCCTTGCCGGAAAATCCTGCCTTCATAACGGCAATTTCGAATATCACCAAAATCTGGCAATAGACAAAGAACTGGTCCCCTTGATTTACTCGATGTCTATTTTCAAATCTTGGCAATACCCCAAAGTACCGCCAAATTTTTGCGATTATTTGTGTACCGTCGTTTTTAGGGCGAGGTTTTCGAGTAAGGCCGTTTATTGACGGTACTCAATTGTATCGCTAAGAAGATACCAAAAGTATAACCTTTGGATCGGCGGTGATATCGTTATCGACGTATAGAAACGAAGTACAGATGAAGACAGCTCAGCCAATTTTTACACTCTCAGACCTTCACTGATTATTTTTTCTATATTGTAGAAAATTTACACTACGGCTTACTGATTTTAGAGCGTTACTATGATATAGTAAATATTTTCAATAACATATCGAATAAATTTTACATGAGATACAGATAAATTAGCGGTAACAAATTTGGTAATTATAGACAATCTTTTACTTACTTACAGAAAATTTACAATGTCAGTAGAAATATGATGACAAATTTGTTTATAATCAAAGAATTTATTTTCTGCAAATGTAGAAGACAAAGTTTGTGCTCATAAACAATTTGTCGATGACTACTTTGTGATCTTCAGTAAATATTTTCAGTGAAATTTTTTTCCGTTCAAACAAAGCTGATTGGAAGGTAATGCGCTTAGTCAAAATGATCCTACAAAACATTCTTAGCTTCGACAAGTCAAGAAAGGACTCAATGTAAGCGGCTTTTAAGAGATGGTTGAATTGTGACTTTTAGCGGAAACATCCAAAAAGTTATTCTGACTCTTTAAAATCTTTTCTGTTAATTCTTGTATATATTATCTGTATGTAGAGAACATTTTGCCTACATTTATAGATCATTTTTACTAGAATGGAACAGTAATTTTTTTCTGCTTGATCATAACTGTAGTTGCAGAAAATATTATCAACAGACCACTTTTCTGTAAGGTTGCTGATTATTTTTTCTGTACTTACAATCAAAAGGACTACAATTGCAGAAAAAATAATTAAACTGTAGGTTTACTGAAAAAAATGTCCGTGGAGTGTCGGAGAGTGTAAAAAGAGAACAAACTATCAGCAAAGAAATTATTTATTTTCAAAGCAGTATTGTCAGCACGCGCGTGCTGACCTTTTGAACAAAATACTTTGAAATTAAGCATTTCTTTGTAGAACAAACTAAATAGTATTTAACTTAACTTGAATAAACTACTAGCTTTTTTTTTCTAGATAAGTGCACTCATTGTAACTCTAGTATGTCAAAATGTGCGACAGTCATATCAGGAACTAAAAGTTTCGTTATTGTTAAAGTGTGGTTTAGTACGGCAATGTGAAGCGTCCGTTTCCGATCATCTCCCTCCACGCAGACGGACAGCGAACAGATCCCGCAGTGATAGTTTCGAACTATCATCATCAGTACGGAGCAAACTTGGGAGGCACCTCGGGGATACCCCTCAGGAGCCGTCCGTTAAACCAGTGCGCTCGACGAGCTGTTCGCACTGCCGCGTGATTCCACTGTGGCAAAAAGGTACGGAAAATTCTGTCAATTTTTTAGCCAAGATTCTCCGTAGGCTCTTACAGTATCCTCCGTAGGACCGCAGTATTCTCCTTAAGACCGTACAGACTTATCCGTGGGACCTGGACAAAGGACCTGGAAGACAGTCTTACGGAGATCACTGTAAGGTCTTACGGAGATGACTGCACGGTCCTACGGAGAATACTGTAAGGTCCTACGGAGACGATTGACAAGCGGCAAGCGGTCTACGGAGAATTACCACAAGCTGTTTACAGAATTTTCTGTAGCCTTTTGCCAGTGTCCACGAGGAGTCGGTTTGTCGCTAGGCACACTCGCCCCGTAGGAGAACGAGTGAGAGAAAAATGTTTTAACACCGTTTTATTCTGGTTTTTCTTCTTAATACCAATTAGGCCATGGGGAGGAGTTACTTG